ATCACTGTGTGTGGAGTGAATGGAACTTCAGTAAATTTTTCTTTGGTCACCACATTCATAATAAATATTACGTATTGGTATACAGAAAGATACAAATACATGAATGACCAAAGGGGTTAAGGCTGAAGTATAAACTTATTTGACCTGACCCCTATTTCTGAAATGGCCGGTACTCAAATGATAAGGGACTTTGTATGACCGTGGTCTGGTAAAAGCGCTATATAAATAAAATTGCTTACATACTACAAACTTAAAGGGCTGCACAATAAATTGAAAACATGTTGGTTTTGCTGTATGAGTGATTATAAAAATTTTGATATTGCAGAGATGTGCGATCATTCTCAGATTCAGATCAGATTCAGATTCAGATTCATTTATTTGCCATTTGCAATAAAACCACATTGGAAAAACTGTGCAAGACTACCCCGGTGTGCACCAGACAGAGGAGACGACACACACCAGAGCTCTTGCCACAACCTATACATTCTAATGTATAGGTTGTGTGTTCTTTATGTATATATTTATAATTTGGCTGGAAGTGGAACCAACACGACATGGTGGGAATGCAGATGTGCAGCCATCCCACTTGCATTGTGTGTCTTTATAGAAAATGATACACTGAGATAATTCTTATGAAGTTATAATATGAGTACATGAGGATTATTCAAAACCAAACATTGTGGTAGAATGTTCCTGGTACAGTTTAGGGACAGGGTTGTCAGACCAGTCCTCAAAGCTCAAAGGGACGGTGTGGCTGCAGGTTACAAACTGGGTACAGGTCAGATCGGAAGATTTAGCCTCAGCCATTGTGCCCTTTAGCAAGACGCACCCTTCACCTCTACCACATTGTCCTTTTGACCATTTCTTGTCGAATTCACACCAGTTTTTGAGTGTTTCTGGCAGCTCCTATTTGATACACTCCCAGCAGAGGACCTCCCACTCTCCCTTTTCACACACAAGGTCTCACCCCAGACCCCTCCCCCCTCCCCTCCCCTCCGCTCTCGCAGTGCTCGGGTCTTTCACGGGGACGACATAATTGTGTGATGGTTCGCTTATTGTCGGGATCAGGTCAGCCGACTGCCGGTGTTTGGACAAAGCCGACATCTGCCGCGCTGAGCTGCCCCTTTTGAGCAGTGACGTAATGTCCCGTGGCAAGGCCGGCCCCTGTAAAGTGCTGGTGGGACGCTGGTGGGTGTGAGGAGCTGTTAAGGGACTGTCAGAAATTGTGGGGGTGGGGAAAATTGTTTGGCTGGAAAAGGGTTTTTTACAGTGTGCAGTAGCTAGGAGTTTTTATCGCTTTAACTCGATATAAAGTAAAAGTTTTATTGCGTTTTTATATTATTATTTTTATAATTTATTGGGGCAACAGTGGCTCAGTTGTTAGTGTTGGCCTTTAGGCTCTCTATCTGAGATTTTGAATGATGAAACGTGGCTAGGTCTTTCAGCATGACGATAATCCCAATCACCTCCCGGGCTACGAAAGAATGACTTCGTAAGAAGCATTTCAAGGTCCTGGAGTGGCCTAGCCAGTCTCCAGATCTAAATCCCATAAAAAATCTTTAAAGGGAGAAGAAATTCTGTGTTTGCCAGTGACGGCCCCAAAACATCATGGCTCTAGAGGAGATCTGCATGGAGGAAAATACCAGCAACAGTGAGCGAAGACCTTTGTGCTCTGTCATTGCTAACCAAGGGTATATAACAAAGTATTGGATTCACTTTTGTTATTGACAAATACTTATTTCCCACCATGATTTTCAACTAAATTCTTTAAAAATCAGACTGTGATTTTCTGGATTTTTTTTCTCATCCTGTCTCTTAGTTGAGGTATACCTATGATGAAAATTACAGACCTCACTCATCTTTTTAAGTGGGAGAACTTGCACAATTGGTGGTGGGTTTTATACTTTTTGCCCCAGTGTATATATGCGTCTATGTGTTTAACCCAGTGGGGGCGGGTCGCGGCTCAAAAGTGGCCAAAATGATGTGCGCTGACATGCTTGCAATACCACCCCGGGCCGATGGGGGTGGACCCAGAAGAAGAATTAGCCAATGCTAACATATAGCATTGGCAGACCTCTCAAAAACGTCTTTACAGGATGGTCCAAAAGTTGGCTCTTGGCCCAAAGCTCCGTTCCACATGTGTGTCAATGCTGAGGGGGGTGAATTTTTTTGGACCACTCTAGTTTACTTGCTGTGAATTTTTGAAGTCTCTCGTTCAAATGAATGGAGCTCTCGCCAGTTGACGCATGCGCAGTTGCGTTTTTTCACAATTTTCTTGTGGGCGGGATCACTCGCGGCCATTTTGGATAGCTCCAGTAGAGCACTATTTTTGGCCCATTAGTTAGAACGGTGGAGATAGGCGTGACTACGTCCGTTAATTTTTAGTCTATGGTTTAACCCAACTTATACTGTATGTTTAGCCCAACTCATGACACACTTTGTTTTGATTTAAAAGGGTCACTTTTGCCAAAACCAATACAAATAATATTTTTCACTGCTCTCTTTACCCAGCCGTCAAGAACTTCATTTCTTCTTCAAAGCAAACGTCTCCCTGAAGTCATATTAGACTGATAATACCCCTCGATTTAGCATGGATGTCTCTACCATGCGCTTGAATTAGCATTTTCCCAAGGTCGGTTGGTACATGGCCCATTTTGTGGTTTAAAGGCAACCAAGAGCTTAATGTTTGACTGTGGACTGGAAGCCTCATGTGGATGTCCATTTACTGCCCCTGGACTGTTGTGAGCCATTTAACGCCAATAATCCTCGGCTTTTACAATGGAAGTTCAATGCTGTTTTGGTGTCACTATGGACTCCACTGAGCTCATTTCCAAACTGAACGTGGAAATCGATCTATCTTTTTTTACTTTGAGATTCTAGCCACAATTGTTGATGATATCTCCACATATCCAGTTTACTTTACTTTACATCCAAACTTGCATGCGAAAGCCAAATACTGCCAGACTTTTGAAGCTAAGCAGGGCAGGGCATGGTTAGTAATGTTATGCGAGACACTTTTAGAATGAGCTGCGTGTGTGAATGGTTGGTGGTGGTAGAAGGGGCCGATAGTACATACGTGTTGCCGCGGGGTCAGTGTGCCCCAGGGCAGCTTTGGCTACAGTAGTATATCACCAGTATGTATGGAGTGAATTAATAATGTGTACACACATTGTCCTGAAAAGTGCTGTATAAAACCAATGCATTACTTCTACACCAACTAAAGGCAGGCATCATTTTGACGATTTAATAAGGATTTTAGTTCAGTGCGTCTTGTAAATAACAAAAAAATGAAAAAAATAGAGGTTTGAGACAATTGGTTGTGTTTTGTGCTTCCGTTATCATGCGTTTTGGCGGTGCAATCCCCACAATATGCTCTGTCCTTGCATAGACTGATACTGGGGTAAGCAAAAATATCCTGGGTTCGAATCCACCAGGCAATAGGCCTTTCTGAGTGGAGCTTGCATTTGTTCCCTGTGTCTGCTCAGGTTTCCTCCAGATGCTCTGGTTTCCCCTACCACTATAAATATCATGGAGATGGCTTGTCTTTCCCTCGGTCTAGGACGCCCCTACAAAAAGAGACTCTGAAAATGTAGTCATTAAAAAAAGATGTAATAAGTCATTGGTGAGGACATGAAAACCTACAACTCTAGTTAATTTTGTATGTTGTAGTCCGCCCACATTTTTATTCTTAATTGAATGCTTTTTTTTCCCAGCTCAGCATTTCTGAGGCCAAATATAAAGCTGATTTTTGCACATTACTTTTACCATGACCCAGCGCTAACCATTACTCTCCATTAGACTCTTGGGAAAAGCTATTTGCTGCATTCCTCCCAAATTACCTCAAGCTAATTTAGATGTTTTTTTGTTACTAATGTGGAACTGGAGGCCTCTTAAGGTGGCCATTTTAACAGATTAGTGAGTAGTGCATTTAGCAAGGGGAAACCATTTGCACACAGCATTACCAGATGTGCTCCATAAATGACTCATTGCTATGCTAATATTGGAGTTTTAGCCTTCACACGCACACACGCAGAGACGCGCGCACAGAGAGACGCACACAGAAAGACGCACACGCAATCCACTCTATCTTTTTTTTTGCATCTATCCTTGTCCACACAAGACAAGTCAAAACCTAAATTATGGAGAACAAGTGAAAAACTGTTTGGGATGTCAGTGGGGCGGGGCTTCCATTATTAGGCCAACTTTCCCATTGTTTCACTGTCCTGGAATGCCCAACAATAGCCCAAGGTTTCATGATAGGCTTTTCCCAAACTCTATTATCATCCACTAATGCACCGTGAGATATTTTACACACCATTTGCTAATTGGGAAAAATGCATTGACTCTCAACGGCCGGAAATAAACATTGCAATCTTACTTGGTATATGAAGGATATTGAAATTCATAACATTTTTGGAAAGTTTCTCATGTTTATGTCCTTGCGATGAACTTGTCTATACAATACAGTGAATAAGATAAAGACGTCCTTTATTTGTCCCACAATGGGGATATTTCAGTGTTGCATCACCAGTTACAGAACAGTAGGAATTGTTTATGTATGGACTTGTCTTGTGCATATTGGAGACTTTTGCAAATGTATTGTGTGGTTTTACTCCAAATGGCAACAACAAAAAATGAGTCTGAATCTGTATAGTCAAGTGCAGGAAATATATTGTAGGTATACCTGTACATGTTAGCAGCAAGAGGGTATGCGACCGTATGACCAAAAGTGAAGATTGTGACCAAAAGTATAATAGGTATTTTTGGATTCCGAAGAGTTAGGTTTAGAATAGTTGTTGTCCTTGTTCCATTTCTGTAAGCATTGTGCCGGTTGTCTGTACTCTTGTCTCCTAAATCCCTCTAAAAAACATGTGCTATTGATTTAGAATTGATGTCATGTGACCAACCAGACCTCTGTGACCAAAAATCACCAAGGCGAAATACAGATGAGTTTTTTTTTCCCAGATTGATTAAAAAGTGTATTGTTTTGTTTGTTGCAGATATGCCCTCGCCGATGAAGCCTACAGTTCGCTACGAGACCAAGACAAGGACCAGTGCATCCTCATCACAGGAGAGAGTGGAGCTGGGAAAACAGGTAATTTAGTGACAATTTTTTCTATTCAAAAGGATGCAAGGAAATGTTGATTTGCTTGGCATGTTTCAAAGTATGGCTTTTTAAAATGTGCTGACAATTCCATGTAAATAGACTGGTCATAGCTGATGAGATTTGCAAGCTTAGTCTCTATAAAAGTGCATGTTTTGAAATGTTTTGGAGCAATAAAGCATGCCTGACTTGAATTGCATTGCTATAAAAAAATTTACAAAAAAATATTATAAAGAAATATAAAAACTAGAAGATTTTTGCCTTAAACATACTGTATGGTCAATCGGGACCACAATCCCAGTGGTTGTATATCATTACAACATTTACCCATTTAAATCTGAGGTATTTAATTCTAATTCTGAATCAATAATAGTTTGTCTCAACAGTTTGTATAGTAAAAGTAACATTTTGAACAAATTATGCCACAATTGCCTATTCAGAAAACATAGGTTAGCTAACTTTACTTATTTATGAGTATTTCAACCATATATACAGATACATACAGATGTTGAAAATTCCACTTTATGATTAAATAACTTAATATGGGATCAGGCTGTTTTTATCCCCTTCATATTGAACTTCAACCTTTAATACTTTCTGCAAAAGAATTTTTCTGCATTCAGACCGGATTGTACAAACAACCATTCAGTTCCAGTAAAAAATAAAATCATATCTTTGCCATTTCTGCTATTGATAAAAACACATATTGAAAAAAGCTACAGTTTAACCCAACTACATCAGATATTGCATCATGTTTAACTACAGTCATGCATTTTTTTTATCTTTTTCTTATCTTTTCTGTTCTTTACACGTTTTGCTCAAAGCTCAGACATAACTTGCGCTGCTCCGATTCCAAACAGATACGCTCTAAAGGTCGCTGATAACGGCTTTCTTGAGAAAATCGTGAAAAGACATTCCGCTCTGAGATTACACACACACAAAGAGGCACACTGACGCACAGAGACAGAGACACGCGCACAGAGACACGCGCACAGAGACACGCGCACAGAGACACGCGCACAGAGACGCGCGCACAGAGACGCGCGCACAGAGACGCGCGCACAGTGACGCGCGCACAGAGACGCGCGCACAGAGACGCGCGCACAGAGAGACGCACGCGCACACAGACACACCCCACCTTGAACTTTGTCCGTCATTCTCACCAGAAGCAGAAGTACATCCGTGTTTTTACTGCTACTGTTTTTTGTGTGACGTGGAAGACTCTCGCACACGTTTTCTGCTGTAATAATGAATGGAATTTCCTTCTGAAGGTTTTTGGGTCAACCAGCAGAAAAGAATGTCATGTTCCACAAAATTATCTTTCAAGCAATATAGAATCGAATCCTTCTGTAACAAAACCACATGCCTCTAAGCTGCCTGTATGAATGGAAGGAATTTGGCATATTGGAAAAGTACTTTTTCATTCCCCTTAACAACTTATATAAAATAAACCTGTTTCAAAATCTCAGTAAGATTTCTTCTCCATCTCACAGGTTTATGTACCACGTTGAAACCATATTGGTCATGGTGGGGTACTCCTGCATAGTTTTTCCAATGTGGTTTTACTGCAAATGGCCAATGAATTCTTGAATCTTGTAATGTTATGTATAAAATGTGTTAAAGAATATTTTTAATGACTTACTTTCTGTCAGAGACTTTCCCAAGGTTTTGGTCACAGGCAAAAATGTATCTAGCTTTTCCATTGGGTAAGGTTGAAATGGAAGGGACAAGGCAGGTTTTTATTTGTGTCACAATTCATACACAAGGCTCAAAGTACAGCCATCCATTTTCTTCCCCTTTGTCCATTTCTGGGTCGGGAGCAATCGGCTGCTACCCAATTCAGAGCACCACGGATCCTCCTAAAGTGGTGTGTCCACAGGAAACTCAAAGTGCCTTATATGAAGTGCATTATATAAAGTGCATTACGAAGCAAGAAAGGAAACATTGCAAACAAGTCAAATTGGAAGTAATCACAAAAATCACTTATTCCATTATTTTTATTGACTTTTTGTTTTGTTTTTAGATGGTAAGCATATACAAATGCAAAATAAACGCAAACACACAAAAAAGTAATAAAGTATGATGTTAATTGTAAAGACACATTTTATTTATTTGGCACCAGTGCTACAGGTTACAATCCAATCCGAAAACAACAGTAAATAGTGTTGTTGTGGAATTACTGAGGAGTGAAATACACAATATTAAATATAAAATAAACAACAAGAGCTGTAATCCAAATCAAAGTGTGGTTTATTATCTCAGTAAATGTATACATATACAGGATATACAACCGTGCAACCGCGTGGCAGGTCCCGGATAGATCTGCTGACAGTGCTCAATTCTCCCTCTCATTTATAGGATGGAATAAACAAACGAGTCTATCTATGGCGCCTCTGAGTCCGAGATTAGACGGCAGCTATGGCCCAAACCCCCTTCTCTTCTGACGTCGCACCCTGATAGACTCTGATATTACTCTGATATTAGGAAGAATTGTCACTATGACTGGTGAGCCTGCTCTTCTGGCCCCTGGTATCAACCTCGTATCTGGTATCAACCCCGTCATTGGCCTCGCGTCTCTAGGGAAAAACAGCTTAGTTAGTTTCAATAGACTTACTATCTTGAACTTAGTCCCAGATATCCCATTTCATCATTAGATTTATTCTTAAGTTAAATTGATTTATAATCCCAGTAAGATTTCTATAACAGTGTCAAAAAACCTGTAAGGTGCCAAGGCGGGGTGAACAATTCCAATACCCGATGTATACAGTTTATGGCTAGTTCCATTTCTTCTTCCATATCTCCTGTCGGACTTTGTCTCTGGGTCTTTTCCATTAAACACATGTAGATTAGTGACGTCCATTGATCCTTTACTGTTCGTGCCCTATACTTCCTATTGTTTTTTTATTTTTTTACACAATTTGAAACCAGCCTCTGTCCTAAATTGACCAATAGTGTCCTCTGTAAAGTCAAGCAGATAAAACCATTATAGTCCATTAGCCACAATACTCACACAGGCCAAATGATCAGTAATATCCGTGGTGAGGCAAGCCCAGTCGCAATAAGGATTAGCTTTGCATTATTGCATGTTAGATCATTTTGTCCAATGTAGATCAGTCAAAGCAAAAAACCTTTTTTCAAACACAATTCTAGTCATTGCAATCTTTGCCACAACATAGATTTTTTTTTTTTCAGTATGAGTCAAAGATCAGTCATAAACTCGCAAGATTTCTGTGCATTTTTTGTTCTGAGACTTCACCAGAGTCACAACAATGTTTTGTCAAAGTGAGACATCTTTGTGATTTTTTTTTTCTTTTTTCTTTTGCTAATCTGAGAGATGATAGCCAGATTATTGTGCAGAGCGCCCACCTTGTGAAAGGCCTCCGTGTCCTCGCCTTCGCACCGCAGAGATTTGCTCCTGTGTCAAAAGCTTTTCCCTTATCCTTTTCTTGGCGCATTCTACACAACATGAGTGCGGGCGGCGGTTGTCTGGACTGGCCGTAAAGCGATGTCTTGAGCTTAACTACATCATCTAGCCGTCATCTGCAGCTGACGGAAACATGTCTTTTGATGATCATGTCCCTTTAGGATACTTATGAAGGGGTTTTAAGGTCATCCTGTCCCACAGTTTGAGCTCGGAGGATTTTTGGTTAGATTTAGAACTACAGAAGACGCAGGGGAAGACGACACAAGCCTAGTTCATCAAATTGTCAATTGCAACAATTATTTTACAAAGTCTAAATCACTGCTTTTTATATTTTGTGGGGTCAAATAAATACATTCATAAACAAAGAATTCTTATGTTATTACTTATTTGGAAAGACATATAAACGCAAGGGTTTACCACACACCCAGTTCCTCCTGAAGGAACATTCCCATAGGCAAGGCAAGGAAAGTCAAGTTTATTTCTATGGCACAGTTAAAACACAAAGGAACATGTAAAATAGTAGGTACTCCAGCCTTAAAGGAATAGTTCACCGTTTGTACATACTGACATATGTTCTTACCTTACCTTAGACTAGTTAATACGTACCTGTCTGGTCTTAGTCCGTGCGCTCTGTCATGCAAACGGAGCAAAAACTGGAGCACAACCGCAGCCTCCTCCTGTATATTTTGTAGCACCAAAAGGTAGCTCCCGCTAGAAGCTACCAAACTCTTCCAAGTGTTCCCTATTAAATGTATATAGTTACGTGACGTGTTACACTGCAAAGTATAGTAACACAGAAATGTAACAGTCGATTTTCTCAGCGGATAAAACGGGTACTATATTGTGAGGCGTAGTAATCTGAGGAGCGCTACGTCCGCGCACTAACTTCTCTCCGGAGACTTCTCTCTCGCTCACTTCCGTCAATAGAAGCAGCGTGACTTGTAGTACACACAGTAGCAGCGAGAGAGAAGTCTCCGGAGAGAAGTTAGTGCGCAGAGAAGTTAGGAGCGCTACGTCCGCGCACTAACTTCTCTCCAGAGACTTCTCTCTCGCTGCTACTGTGTGTACTACAAGTCACGCTGCTTCTATTGACGGAAGTGAGCGAGAGAGAAGTCTCCGGAGAGAAGTTAGTGCGCGGACGTAACGCTCCTCAGATTACTACGCCTCACAATATAGTACCCGTTTTATCCGCTGAGAAAATCGACTGTTACATTTCTGTGTTACTATACTTTGCAGTGTAACACGTCACGTAACTATATACATTTAATAGGGAACACTTGGAAGAGTTTGGTAGCTTCTAGCGGGAGCTACCTTTTGGTGCTACAAAATATACAGAGGAGGCTGCGGTTGTGCTCCAGTTTTTGCTCCGTTTGCATGACAGAGCGCACGGACTAAGACCAGACAGGTACGTATTAACTAGTCTAAGGTAAGGTAAGAACATATGTCAGTATGTACAAACGGTGAACTATTCCTTTAAAGACCAAGGCCCTTTTGTCATATCACATTTTAACCGGATGTGCTGGGACTTGCACAAAGGAAAACAAGAAACAAGGGAACATTAAAATCATACTTTTTGTTTTATTTTATTAAAATCACTATACAACCACAGTACACTCCGCAAGAACTGTTTTTAACCTGGATTAGGCTCACAGTATTCTGTCTCACATTTTCAGGAAGACTGTTCAAGATTTAGAAGAAAATATACTTTATTGAACTCACAATGCTCTGTTCGATGAATATACACATAAACACATCGAGCCATGCAGCGTACTATCACTTCCACGCTCCTTAGGCAAAGTGGGTTAAGTGTCTTGCCCAAGGACACAACGGCAGCAGACGTCAGTGCTTAGAGATGGGAGAATAAACTATTATGTATTTTTTTAGGGCAGTAAAAATCTCCTCATTCATGGCACATTTATAATCTTGGTCTTTGCCTCTTTCATAATGACTGCCGATATTTTACCAGATTCAATTATTTTTCACGCAGTGTAAAAGCGGTATTCTTGCGTTCAAATTACTTGAATCATTTCTTACTTCCATCACATTTACAAGAATCAGGTTAAGTACCCTTTAAATATGGTCCCCCCTGCTCTGTTCTGTGACTTCTAAGATAAGATAAGATAAGCATTACGCATTACAGAACAGTGGGGAAAAAAGACTAAGAAAAACAAGATAAACAGCTGTAAATATTGGATAGTGTGAAATTATGAAATATTAACGCATAAAAGTTGTAGTTTTAAAACAATGTCTTATTCTCAGAAAGAACATGTAAATATAGTTTGCAATTACCATCAGAGGTTGCTGTTACAGAAAAAGGTTATGAAACGGCACAAACAATATTAGTATTAGTTCTGGATTAAATTTTCTCTGTTGCACTTTAGGCAATGCATGTGTAATTGTATAGCACAGTTTACACACAAGGCAACTCAAAGTGCTTAACTAAAAAAAAAAAACCTTTAAAATTACATCACGAATAATGGCAGTACATTTAAAAGCGATTTGTTTTTGACCTGGCTTTTAACATTCAATCAATCAATTTTATTTATAGAGCCCTTTACAACACTCAAGGCGACCAAAGTGCTTCACAATAAAATGACATAAAATCCATTTAAAATATTTATACATTAAAAGCAATAAAACAGATTAAAAAAAACATTTTAAAAAGTGTCACCTGCTACTGAGTGATAAAAGTGTTTAAAAGCCAGTCTGAATAAATGCATTTTGAGCCTGGATTTAAAATTAACATTGTCAGAGAAGAAGCTTGTCTCACATTTTCACTAAGACCGTTCCAGATTTGAACTGCCTCAATCTGAAACGCTGCCTCCCCATGTTTAGTCCTGACTCTGGCACCAGCAGGAGGCCAGTCCCTGTGCTCCTCAGAGTCAGACTCGGTTCATACTAAATATTTTCTCCCTTAACTTTTATCTTGTCTTAAGTTTTGCCTAATAACTTTCCAGTCTTTTAGGATCCAGATTGTCCACCAACGCAACACTTTCATCCCATTGCATCAAATCGTGCCCAAATTTTCCTAAAATATTCCATCTCCTCATCGGCTCGTCCTCGTGATGTCAAAGTCTCCATATTAATCCTCGTATCTCAGTCAAGTTTAGCAGTTGCGAATCATGATGCGAGCTGCGAACTACCCTTTCTTTCAACTATAATTGTCAGCAAAGGCCAGCGTTGCACAAACACACACTCACACATTTTGAAATTACCTAAATTGTCTTTATTTTCCCAGTGAGCTAGTTGTATGACGAGAATGTGATGCAACTATAGTAAAATATACAGTCGTTATGAAGTCTAAGCTTTTTGAACTCCTCCACCTCGCCTACACCCTGTGCTAATATGGAACAGGGTTTTTCACGTATGGGTGTCACTCTGTGTCTGCAACTTTTGGGTTTTTTGAATATTTATCTTTGTCTCATTGCAGAGGCCAGTAAGCTGGTGATGTCATACGTGGCTGCGGTGTGCGGCAAGGGCCAGGAGGTCAACAAGGTGAAGGAACAGCTGCTCCAGTCCAACCCGGTGCTAGAGGGTGAGTCTAATGTCATACAACACAAGTCATTGAGGGTCCAATGAATGCAAGTAATTTTTATTTATATAGCGCCTTTGACGGACCAGAGAATCAAAGCGCTTTACAATCACGGGTATTTCTCGCACTCCACACAGTGATGGGAGGCCAGACCTATTTTACATGTTTTTAGTGGTAGAGGAAACCGCAGCACCCGGAGGAAACCTTGGCAGACAAAGGGAAAACGCACAAACTCCACTCAGAAAGACCATGTTCCGTCTGGGATTCGAATCTAGGACCTTCTTGCTGAGAATAGATCCACTCAGCCACCGTGCCACCCACAATGTATATCTGAAATGCAAAGAAATGCAAAGAAAAACAGACTTTAGTGTAGTCTGTGTATTGGTGCGTTAGTGGCTGTAGTAGTAATTACAAGAAACGTAAGGTAGATTTTTTTATTTCTTTTTATGCATGCCATGTTCTATTTTTTTTTCTTTTTTAACTTGTTTGTTCTGAGAGTCAAAGCAATTTCATATTTTTTGACTCCCTGTTACTCACAATGGCAATAAAGAGTATTCTGATTCTAATTTAGGTGAATAGATTTTAGCTTTCCAAATAGTTTGCTTGTGTCTGGAATGTGGCATCTACAGCCAGAAGCTTGCAACAAAACTGTTTGTGATTATCGATAAAATAACAAACTGAGAGAAAGCAGACGTTTTTGTAGATTTTGTCTGACTTGTGAAATGGTGTTGACATCCCAAACTCTGTTTTCTGCTAAATATTGAAGTTCATACAGTAATCCTGCATTGTATTATTTTAAAAAAGACCTCTGTATAGACTCCAGCAGCTAGAACATTTTGTAGTAATAATAAGTATCACTGAATAAGATATTTAAGTGCTTCACAAGAGCAATTACAAATGCAAAAGGTAGTTCAAATCAATACACAATTTAAACAGTGGTTGAAACATAAAAAAAAAAACTCTTGACGGTAAATAAACAACCTTTGATGAACGTGGCCAAAACACGTCACGCGTCCCTGTTCGTCAAAGGATTTTTATTTACTGTCAAGAGTGGCTCACATTTCCTCCTTTCTCAAATGTTACCAGTGTCTATTTTACTGCTGATCCTGATGAGAACTTGACAAAAAAATGATCTTACTACTGATCCTGATGCAAACCTGACAATAATTTGAGTGCTAACCTCTCTTAAAGAACCTTCATAAAAAGTTGTATGTTTTAATGGTTTGAAAGGTTGGAAGTAAAACCGCTGAATAAGGCTAAATTGGCAGTACAATAGTCTCCCCATCATACCTCACTCACACCGCCACCTCTCTGGGCTCCGGGCTCTGGGCACTCAGGCAGCTGTGCTTTAATTGGGGGCCGTGCACAGGAAATACCCACTGATGAAGTCACACTGAGGCCAGGCGGCTACAGACACCAGACATCTGCCAAAGTTTAAGTCCAGCTCAGCCAAGAGGACCACGTTCTCACACTATGGCAAAGGTGGTACTCGGGGTGTATGGGTGGATGCTTGTTTCGGACCTGGTTGGGACCTGGTTGGGACCTGGTTGGGACCTGGTTGGGACCTGGTTGGGACCTGGTTCATACCTGGTTCATACCTGGTTCAGACCTTATTTAGATCCTGTGTCCTTGTTTACACACCCTGAAGTCAAAGAGTCCTTATAAACCAGGACTTTGACAAAACAAAACCAGGTCTTAAAGGAGCGATACCCGTTTCTGCAAGGTTTGAATGTTTAGCACCTCTCCCCAACTCGCTCACAGGTCTCTCATTTCCCCTACGCTCTCATCCCACGGAGCCATCGAGTATTATTTGCGATCTATATGCAAACATTAGCATGAGCGCAACCCTGTACTACAATCACTGATGAAATGGTACAAAAACGCACTGCTAACAAAATATATAACTGAAAGACTACCACTAGTTCCGCGTCCGAATGTAGTCTGAGGCAGTCCCGCAGGTCTCTCCCATATACTGCAAGTCTCTCCAGAGGATACGATGTAAACTTAGAGGAGAGCGGGCGTCACGCTAAGTCTCTACTCAGCACTTTTTACAGCCTGAATTCATACACAAGCTGAATAAATGAGCTCAAGTTTTCAATTAAATTATTGATTATAATAAAACTTGTATGTAGTAATAAGCCTTTTTATGAGCTCAAAAAAAAAATGGGTATAGCATCTTTAAGTCCTGATTTGGGCTCGTTTCCTGTTGTTTGCAGGATGTAGTCCTTTTTGTTTGGATTTGAAGATTTAAAGGTGATCAAGTGATCAGCTTTATCTGTGGTCTGTGGTCTCAGCGGGTCCTGCGGTGTGGTGCTTCAGCTGACATGGCGTAAAGGAGCAGAGCAATACAGCGGGATTGAATAAAGTGTGGACTAGATTTCATCCATCCATCCATTTTCTTCCCCTTAATCCATTTCTGAGTCAGGGGGAGCCAGAGCCAGAGCTACACCCAGTTCACCGAGAACCAGCCCCTCACTGATCCTGCTGCCCAGTGGACTAGATTATTTTATGATATCATTTAAGATCAATACCGATAGTTATAAAATAGGACAAGATATATGCAGTTGTGCTTGAAAGTTTACACACTCAGCCATAGACGTGTGGCGCCATATATCAATGTATGTCAAAATACATGCTTTCTATTTTCAAATTACAATATTAAAATTATGAAATAAGATCGGTGATCACGATATTGCAGACAGAAAATACAAGAGGTTTGTTCACAGTGGTCTACCGAGCTACCGTAAATATTTCTCGCTCTTTTCTCCCGCCGGCCAGATTTAATCCTCTTGTAACATCCAGCACTTTGGGGAAACTCCGTGGAAAGTTTTAAAATTTAACTATCGCCGTTCAAATAAATAAATGCATCTTGCCTCATACACGATAAAGACCACGCGGCTGCTGAGCGCTTTCACTTTCTTTCACCATCTTTATTGCTTCCTTTCTTTATGTTGCTTTACTTTGACTCCCAGGCCCCGAGGCTGCGACTGCATCCCTGGAACTGCAGCCCACACATTAGTCTGAAAACACCAGGCAGAGACATCACCTCCACCTTCAGCTGATGCCAGTGATTAGGCTGTCGGAATAAAATGATTAACACTAATGGCTTAAAATGAACAAGGCTAATGGATTATTCACAGGGAAATGGGAGAGGTACAGACCAAAAAGAAATTAAGACTTTCAGATGAACGCAGGCTGCAATTTATGAGAATATTATGATGAAGAATACTGTAGTGAAAATGTCTCGATAATACAACTTTTGATGTGGGGGAAAAAAAGTTTGTATTTGTGTGTACTAGATGTTTTAGGAAGTTTTCTCATGGTGGTAGTAATTAGTAATCATTATTTATGTAGAGCCTTTCACAGATCAGAGTCACAAAGCGCTTTACAATTGTTAATTATGTGGGCATTTGTCTCTCACTACAGAGATTAGATTAAGGTCGCCGGTACAGGAGGCACATGCCAGACCTATTGTACATGTTTTTAGTGGTAGGGGAAACTTGAGCACCCAGAGGAAACCTACGAAGACATGGGGATAACATGCAAACTCCACTCAGAAAGTCCGTGCCGCCACTCAGCCTCAGACATTTCGCACACCCATGTCCTTAGACCCTTTACCAATGCAGGAGGGACATTTCAGGACGTTCATAGATTTTTATTAACATTTATGGATATGTCAAATGTACAAATACACAAGACATTTAACAGTGCAGATTATGTGTGTCCAGAAGTATGGGATTATTATTAAGTGACCATTGTAAAGGCAAGAATCTAGTGATGAATCATGAAGTGTGAGTTTGACTACAGAGGGGAAGAAACTGGCCTGTTTGAATCACATTTCTTTCTTTTCCAGCGTTCGGAAATGCGAAAACCGTGAGGAACGACAACTCTTCCAGATTCGTAAGTCGTCTTCTGTTCCTCCTCTTTAGCAGGATTATAGTAATACATGCAAACCTGCTCGTCACTTTCTCCTCCTGGCTCTTATCCACACATACTTTCTGACTTAAGATCTATAATTCCCAATTTAATGACATGTTAGGATATTTATCTTTCCTTTTCTGTGGTTGGAGCAGCACCACCTGACATGTCAGACACGACAGACCTGGAGGACTTTGGACATAACACAATTTTTTTGAGTCTAGACTGAGTATTCCGTGTGCAAGTCCCAGCACGTCCAGTAGAAATGCGATATGACAAAAGGGCTTTGGTGTTTAAAGCTGGAGTACCTTCTGTTTAAAATTAAGAAACTACATTTATGTTGTTTTGTAAAAGTAAAATGTTGTGAACAAAGTGGTCAAAAACCTGCCTGCATAGCTGCTAAAAAACTATTTGTAGTGGTCCTCTTCACTCTTCTGATACATCCAAAGGGTTTAGAGCAGGGGTGGCTAACCAGTCAGAGACTAAGAGCCCATTTTTTTACTGTGCTCAGACAGATTTATTGTAAATGATAATGATAGAAATTGACTCCTACAGTACTAAATGACTGGACTCGACTCTCCGGTTTGTGGGCGCTTCGACTTTTTAAAAATGGTTTGGCCCTGGTTCTAACCGGGCGAGTCGCTACCTAAACAATCTAACGTCAGCAAACATCAATTATGATTCCGAAATGAATGCTTTCAATCTAATCAAGAAAAAAAAAAATCGAGTATCAACTCAGTATTCAGCAGAAACACAACTGTCTTTATTGAACCATGATTCACTCTCTGACTGCGTTTAGTAAAAGATATAGATTTGACACGTAACACCAACACCACTTTAGCTGATTTAGAACCACAGACACATGTTCAGTGTAAGACCAGATACTTTTGCTTTTTAACTTTTCTCTGCATTGTGATGTTCGTGGGAATCATTCTGCTCCGTCCTTAGCGCTAGCTCCACAAACACCTTCTGGTTTCTGGTGGAACCATCGAGCTTACGCTGGTATCCTCTGCTCAAACTGAGGAAGGTGTTGCCCTCATCCAGCGACCAAGGAACTGTTTTCCGTACGGACATCATGGGTCGAGGCAACGTGTTTGTTATGATATTCGCAACAGCTGAGGCAGCATAGCTGCAGAGTGATTGACAGATTGTTTTGGCGGCCTGGCTAGTGGAGTGGAGTCGGCCTTTACTATGGGTCAGAACTACATAGGGAATGAAAGGCTGCGCCACCACCGAGGCGTTTTGGCGCTTGTCATGTGAAAGCCCGAGAGCCGCACAGAACCAGCCAAAGAGCCGCATGCGGCTCACGGGCCGCGGGTTGGCCACCCTTGATTTAGAGAGCTACTATATGGACTCATCATTTATTTTTTGTGGCTTCAAAGTTGGGTAACTCGGCTTTAAGCCGAGCTTTGTATTTATTATTTAATAAAAAGTGTCTTCATTGTCTAAAAATGGTTAAATTGAATTCAAAATCTACACATTTCCATCTCTTTGAATGAGCCTCGTTTGTCCACTTGAACACTCTACATATATTTACTGTACCTGGACTTTGAACAGTCTTTATAAAGTTTACACGCTGAGAGTCCTGCTCCTCACAGCTCTGTGCTGCTGTTCATGCCCACATGGCCTCGAGCCAAAACAAACCAAACATTCTGAGCAGAAAGCACGTTCTGTCCTCTGCTTTGGCATCATGTGCAGACGCAGCAAAGACCAACAGGTCTGTGTGAGGACAAACACATTTGGAATGAGTACATTTGGTATTCAATCAGATTCTTGTTATGGCTTTGAACAAATGGAATAGTACTGTATTTTCCTGATTTTAAGTTGCTCCGGAGTCGCAAAATAAAAACATAACTCATTGCTGATGCTGTATCAGTTTGTACCGTATTGTTTCAGCTTGAATATCTTGTGTTCCTATGGAAACGATCCGTTTCCTTGTACTGGGTCAGTAGTAAATAAGTTTAACTTCAGCCGGAACCCTTCGGTCACGTACTGTATTATTTCCGTTGTGTTGTTAACTGTAACTTTGTTTCTCATGCTTGACCGAATAAACTACTATTGCTACTACTACTACTACTACTATACTAGAGTATGCAGTACGGGGAAATGTATTTGATAAAATCCAACACCAAGAATACAAATTTCATCTTGAGGCAATTTAAAATATAAATGGAATAGAGAACAACTGAATATGTGCACGTTATATGAGGCCTAAACAACAAACTGAGAACATGCCTGGTTTGTGAACGCAACATATAACAGTAAGAGTCATTCAAATAACTTTAGCATATATGAACATGCTACATGATTGCCAAAGAATCTGTGTCACTCCTAATCACTCAATCCAATAAAATCTTCTTGAAATAAAATCTAATAATTCCACACTTAAGTCGACTCGCTCCAGAGTATAAATCCCACCCCTGGCCAAACTATGACACAAACTGTGATATATAATCTGAAAAATACGGTTATAATGTTTTTTTCTTGAACCAAATGAATGAGCAGCTCTACCTTACCATTTGCTGTCACTGCCCAAACCAATAGAACAAGTGAAGTGGGAGTAACTGGAGTCCTAAAGCAGAAACGGGCGATGGCTGAACATAATTCATGAGGGGATGAACCTTTCACACGTCCTGAACTTTCTTCCTTCTGCAAGGAAGGAGAGTTGATTTTGGCCAAATACTTGAATGTGTTCTGAGGCTATTAATACATCGGAGGAGGAAGAAGAAATTAAACACAGGACTTTCTGTGCCTGCCGCCTGCATTAGACAGACGCACCAATGATAAACGTCCTCAAAGGAAACTCACGGGACGGGGGGCTTTCCCTCTTTCAGCGCCACATGTTCTACTGTATGCGCCACAACACTGAACATTTATGTGGACGATCAATTGGATTAGATCTGAATGCTCGAGGTACATGAAACAAGCCGCTTTTACATTTTTTAGGTTTAGTTTGAGAAAGGAAAGTGATGTTCAAAATCAAATGAGGATGATATTTTTTCAGTATATAATATCAGTATTATTACCTGCCACTCCTCCTGCTTTTCTTTCTCTGAGTGACAGTTGTTTTAACCAATCACAGCATAGCACTAACTCTTATACAAACACATACAGGTGACAGATTTGTACAGCAGTGTTTCCTAATCTTTTTGAGCTATGAGGAGGAGGTGAGGGACAGGAGGGTGCTAGCCAAAACCACCTCCATCATGAACAATACCTCCCACCCACTGCACAGGACTGTAGAGGAGCTGAGGAGCTCCTTCAGTGGAAGACTGAGGCACCCTCAGTGTAGGAAGGAGCGCTACCGCAGGGCCTTTATCCCCACCGCTGTCAGACTGTACAATAAGTCACTTTAAATGATCACTGTGTGAAAACCTGCACTACTATTGACACTGTTTCCAATTGACACTTGTCACTTTTGTTGTACATAATTATTGTCACTTTTATTGTACATATATATCCTGCATGTAACATGTTTGCCCATTTCCTCCTTTTACACAATCTGAGTGTCTCTATCCATGCCAAATGTGACATGTAAATTTATCCTATGTGAGATAAATAAAACGCATCTTATCTTATGGCAATTCACCAGATGAAAGTTAGCACAAAGAAATAATCTAATTATCTTCAACAGGTCTCTGCTGACCAATTAGGGTGATATTAGATTGTTTACAAAGACACCTCAATGTATCTCAAGGCACACTCACAGCCCACTGGTTGATAAACACTGACCTAAAAGCCTGCTTTGGATTGATCGCTGTGGGTGAATTTGCAAGACAAGGGGAAATTGCAATTTTGGTAGCCGCAATTGGCAAATCGTAAAGCTTGCTATTAAAATATATATAGATTTTTTTTCCTCATGTTAATTTTTATTGCAAAACCAAAGAGAAGAGCCCCTCCCACTGCCTACCCATAGGGCTTCCATACTAATGTGACTTCTACTATTATTCACAATGTGTTTCAGGATTATTTAGCTCTAGAAATCCCTCTATCGCTGCAGCAACACAATCTGCAAATCTCTTTACGTCCCCACATATATAGTAATGCATGTCTTCTTTTCCAGGGCAAGTACATGGACATCGAGTTTGACTTCAAGGGCGATCCTTTGGGCGGAGTCATCAGTAACTGTAAGTGCCATTAGAATTTGTCATTCAAAGTAGTCTTCAGTTCTGCTCTGCTTTCAATACAATAGAGGGCCAATATGCATGTGATTCACTGATGGTAATCCTTTTGTGTCCTGGGAAACCCTGGGATTACAGGAGGTCGGGGCAGTCGTTGGTCATATACAGAAGTTTACCGCAGAGATGAGCGGGAAATGTCCCTTTTTGACCCGGAAAAATATCGAATGACTTTTATCGTCGACGGATTTGGATTTTTCCCTCTTTTCACTATGTGCTCATGCCACACTGTAAAAAAACTATCTTTGAGCTTTCATCTATAGAGTTGGAACTAAAACCTTCAGCTCTTCCAACATAGACATCTAGACATTTAGACATCTAGACATTTTAAAGCAGAGGATCTCTGGAATACGTACTTTTTTGCGAATGAATACCTAATTTTAACACCCCCCAAATCTCGCTAAATCTGTGTTGTCGACCATTGGCCAATTTTGGGGATCTAAAGCAGCCTTAAAGCCACTAAAGCCTACTAAAAAGTGTGCGCACCCCTGAGTTTTATTTAAGTTTGCCAAATACTCTCTTCATGTCGGGGATGAGTGTGTTTTTGAAACTCTGACAAATGTTTGTAAATCTGTGGCATCCGGTTTGGTTTTGGTCTCGTGTTGTATCACGTTGTTGAGTATTGGATGGACACACACATGCGCGCACACACACACACAAAGGCACACACACACGGGCACAATTAAAGCCGCTCTCTGTGAGGAGAACGTGCTGACATGTGACTGAAATGCCCCGGGGCAGGCTGATGGATGATGGTGGGACGTCCTGAATAGAAAGCACCATAACAACTCCCAATTTATAATTAAAGCGAACGTCTGTAAGGTTTAAATATAGATTGTACTTCATGTTTTAAAGAAGCACGTTTCACCACCTGGCCTTGCAGAACTAAAATTAGGGCTATTGATTTGTTTAGTAATTCAGTAATCCATCAAGTATTTCTTTTGATGAATTGAGTATTCCATTCTCCTCATCAATGTGTGTTATAGAAAAGAAAGATATTCAGTTAAAACACATTTTCTGAGTGAAATAACGTGGTTTTATTAATTGATGGAACACTAAATGAAAGTTATGATTCATGTGCTAAATCTACAACAGTTTCACATTGATAATTGAATTTGTACCAATAAATAGCTGTGGGGGAAGTGTCTTGCCTACAGACAAAACAGGAGTTGGACACTTCACTAGCCAGGCCCTGCCCTACTTACAGCTTCAGAGTTTTGCCGGGATCTGGCTTTCACATGCAGGTATCGGCATTTTAACCTGGGATTCACCCACAGATACTCCCTGACATACAGCAGTAGCCATGTCCGCCCCTTCTACAGTACGGTCACAGTCGTACTCTTTCAGTCTGGCTTTCCTTGCGCCTTTAATCCCGTCGTCACATTTCTGCTCCCAGTGCCGTGTTAGAAATGCTCAAATGCACTAAGATGACGTGCTCGTAAATCTTTCAGCACCTGCTCCCCTTGACCACTGTCCTCCATCACTCTCCTCCTCCTCCAGGTTAAATGAATAAAGTTATTTTATTATTGATGTTGCGGGACCTCTTATGTGACAAGGGGCCAGTCGGTGCCTCCAATAGTGGTTTTGGGTTTTCGCTTTTCCAGAGAGGCGCCCATGATCACGGTTGACGCAAATTGGAATGAATGTACTAGACTTGGATTGCTAATAGAGGCGTACAAAGTTATGCCAAGCTATAATTTATTTCATAATCAAAGTGCAAATGATGGTTTAACTCTCAATATTTATAAACTCAAAAACTGACAAGTGGGGTTTTCCTAAGTAGTATGAGTTGTAGTTTATTTCTTCTATGTAAATTAGATCTCAGGTTGCATATTTTTAAAGATCATATACATTTTACAATAAGAAAAAATAAATTGTGTATTTTAAGAATTTCAGTGCTAAAAAAAATGCCTGACCGAAAGGGGTTTAGGCTGAAGTCGAGACATATCCTGCCTCACCCCTATTAGAAATGTGACAATATGTCCAAAGATGACACATTATATAGATTCTCATATAACAATGGTAACATGTAGCACAAAACTTACAATATGACAACAACATTTACCTTGTTAGCGGTTCATTAATATGCCCTGTCCCTTTATGAGAGAAAAAAAATACAAACCTAAAACTACTTTTGCCACATGTTAGATTCCTCCTAGGCGTGCTGTTAATGTCTATAGCTCCTCCAGAGTAACCATTGGCCTCGTGTTTGCATCACAGATCTACACATATGCATGCCATCCTCTTCCGTTTATTTTCCCCCACTTCAAAGTGATTGTTAAGTTAAAGTCAAAAATAAATATACATGTTTGTGGTTGTGACAAAATGTGCGAGAGTTTAAGCCATCCACAGACTTTGAGGGAACTGTATGTCCCGGATAAATGTGGTTCAATTTTATTTCTTGTTTAGTGCTGATTTGTTGGCCCATTGAGTAGCAGATGTATCGCTGCTTTTGAAGTTGGTATTTAAGGTAATGCTATTTAGCTTAATGTGGTAAACAAATGTCTGCTGTTTAATCAGCGGCTTGTTGCTCTTGGTCAGATGCCCAGACGAAAGGGCTGACGTCTCGGATCCTGCTCATTTCATGCATTGGTCTCGGATCCTGCTCATTTCTTGCATTGGTCTTGTCACAGTGGACTTTAATAAGAGTTGATTCTATTCTTGTAAAATTTGATTAAAATTGGTCGGTCATCCAAATAATGTCACACAGATTGTCCATGATGGAGGAAATGGCTGTTAGTTAGTATTCAGTAATTTTCATTTCTTTCTGCTTTGTAATATTGGACATTTTAGCTAAAGTATCTTCACGTACTTACTAGTGCGCCTGATCTAAGTACCTCTATTGCAGCATTAAATTGGATTTGTGGTTAAATCAATGGCACATTTAGCCCTGAAAAAAATGTCCCTACTTTTAATTGCTAGTGTTTTTCATGTAGACTTTATAGAAATCTCTTCGGTTGCTCTGTTTGTAATCAGCTGAAAAAAATAAATACATTTTATTGGAAATTGAGATCAATAGGAATTATAAACCCACTCCCTGCACTCAATGTTATTCATTTCACTGTCTTTCCTTTTGTTTAGACTTGCTGGAGAAGTCACGCGTTGTGAAGCAGCCGAGAGGAGAGAGGAACTTCCACATTTTTTACCAGCTTTTGTCTGGAGCCTCAGACGACACCATCAGTAAGACAACACAACCATTACCACTGCTATAATCTTTTGAGTCTAAACTAATCCATTATTCTCAATGAATAAACGAGGAAAAGTAAATCAACACTAAGGCAGATGAATAAATAAGCTACTCCCTCACACACCAGATTCATACTAGACGATGTGGGTGAAGTGTTGCTTAAAAACAACTTTTCACTTAAGAATCGCTACCGTCCCACTGTCTGTTTCCCATCACGTTACACACCAGGTTTTGCACAGCTTAGCATCTGAGAACTGGCAAGATTGAGCTTTGACCAGCATGAACACATCAACAAACAAACAGATAACAGTTAACCATTACTTTTCTAGTTGCGTTAAAGAACAGATACATGGTCGTTTTCCTGAGTCGGTTAGCTTTAAAATGAAGTATAACATGTAGCAGCCCCTTTCCATCAATGCTGCAAGATACTGTGATAAAGATAGCGGAAAATCATTTCAGGGGCCACAAAAAATGGTCTCCCAGGCCAGATTTTGCACACGGGCCTGGGTTTGACATGCCTGGTCTAACACACACACTAACTTAAGTCTATATTTTGTGTTCAGTGCTATCACTTTATGGGGTCCACAGATCCTTAACACAACACGTAATGGCGTAAAAAATAAATAAAATAAAAAATAAATAAAATTGTTTCTCCCATTGTTAGTGTTTTGTGAAGCCATATTTTGTCAAATTAACATGTTTTAAAATTTCAAACCATTCATATCTTTGTTTATTTGTATGAGGCAGCCCACACTAATCAAATGTGAAAGATTTAGCCTTGAAGGTGAGTGACCATCTGTAGTCCCATGGCAGGCTGACGGTACAATTGTTGGTTATGTTAGAAGATAATTGAGTCACTTTGGGGAGATCTCAAATGTGCAGGTAATGCAAGGAAGCCCAGGAATGTACAGGAACTGGAAAGTATTCATCAAGACGAGCGGGCAGCTTTACCATCAGACGAGAAGACATCCACAACTACCACAAAAGTCTCTAAGCTTTCATTGATTGCTCTCTTGAGAACGGGGGGATGGAGACTTCAGATCAGGGTCAGAAGAGGAGTTTATGCTGTCATTAATATTCGAAAAAGGAAAAGACAAATATTTGACAATAAATTGCTTCACACAATCACAAGTCACATTGAGCGAGATAAAGTGTTAGTGTTGGAATCCCTGAAATGTGGCCCAAAACGTCAAAATTTCAGCACACAACTGTATGGGAGCACACAAGTTTTTCTTAAAATTTGTTTTGGAATTAAAATTTGACCGAAACGGTTGCATTTTTCTTTGATGGGCTTAGTTTTCGGGTAATTTTCTCCTGCCCTTAACATTTCTACATAGAGCCCTAAAAAATCAATAGGTAATTTTGTTTTAAGGTTTTTAGCTGCCTCTGCGATTTTATTTTCTATGTTTTGGTGTTTATGATCATGTATTTGCCTAAATGTTGTCTTGTGTGATCTGGACTGTATAGTATTTTGTTTAAGGGAATTTAACTCTGCTCTGGCAAAGTTTCCTTCATTTGACTAAAGGCTTTTCTCATTCCATTCACGCCACAGCACATACATTAAACGGACTTGTTTCAGTTTTTGTTGATGCTATTGCTAATGAAACCCGACACGTACACACCCATGAGGGGAATGGATTTCTTTGCCACCAGATCGGCTGCTTTTAAAAGGGCGCCATTTGATCTACCGCAATAATGTTCAAAGGCCCCCACCGCTTTATGACTGCATATCGTGAAATGGTTAGCAGTGACAATGCCCTCAAGGTTACACAAATTTGTAATACAATTTCAATACAAGCCCGGGTTTCGCACAAAGACGCTTAGATCTTTTCAAAAAGTTCAAGGTTGAGTTTTATCTCCAAACACTCGGAGGTATTCCCTTGCCAGCAGTGATGCATGTAAAGTCGGTGATGCTTAAATCGTCACAAATTGGTTTTAAAATGGTAACCACATGCGGCGTGTGTGTTTTTTTGTGTGTCGCAGAGAAGCTGAAGTTGGAGAGGGACGTCAGTAAATACAATTATCTCAGCCTGGACTCGGCCACGGTCAACGGGCTCGACGACGCAGCCAACTTCAGGACTCTCAGAGTGAGTGCTAACTGTGGGGAAAGATATGTATTCTGCGGACCCCTGTGGAGATGGTTGAAGTGAATGCCAAGGCTGCTGCAAGTTTCTCCAAAAAACAAAGCAAATAAAAACCTCATAGACCACAACAAAACTCTGCAAGCGGTCTTTGGGTATCAGGTACAAGGCTGTTCTCTTAAGTATCAGTCTAATTCTAGGGATGCGCCCATACCACTTTATTCAAAACCGATACAAGTACGGATTCATAAAACGAATAATAAGAAAGTCCTTTATCAATTAAACATTTTAGTAATTGTTTTAACAGTCCAAAATGAGAGCCACTGTCATTTTCCCCTCATGCAAATGGTTAGTTGTAGAGTTGGTTGTTTTTGGGCTCCGGTGCTAGCAAAGGTGCTCTACTAGAATTTCAGATGTTTGAGAAAGTTTCTGGTCAACTGAAGAGGATTCATCTAAACTTTCAAAAAAAAGCATTTTAACTCGAGACAAAATGAACCTTTTTGAACGAAAGAAGCTCCTAAACCCACAAAATTCTTTATTCAAATTTTTTAATAATGGATACAGTATGATGCATTATTATTGACCCTTACACATGATCTTGAGACTATTTACTATCTAGCATTTTGTGTTTGAGAATGTCTTGAGTAGGAAATCTCTGGATAAACATGTACAAAATATTAAAAAAAACATCTGTCTCTGATGGTGAAATTGGAGAGTTACACACAGCAGTTTAATACTTCTTTCCCCCAACATCAAACATTGTGTGCTGCAGGCAGAAGACCGCTCTGGTCATAACTGGATAGTGCTTGGGGGCAGAGGTTCTTGGTCTTTGCCTGGACGGAGCTCAAAAGAAATGTGAAGTTCTCTTGTCATTGTCTTTCCATAACATGTTCTGATTATTGCTGGGTTTGTTACATCTGCTTCACACGCCAAAGAAGAAAAAACCATTAGTTTTGTTCATATTGTGACACATTTTGAGACTGTAACTTTATCTCCTTCTCCTGCTCTATATGCATATACCTTTGCACTATATACAGTTATAGATATGAATGGAGATTTATATTGAAAGATTTATATTAAAGCATTTGCAGCTAGGTAAGAATGATGGCAGCTACTTATATTGTATATTATTTTGTGTGCTCCATATGTGCTCTTACTACCGTCCTGTTTGGGCGCTGCAACAGAAAATTTCCCTGCTGTGGGACAAAAAAGATCTATCTTAATTTTCAATGCTATCGACACATACCTTCTCTATTGATACACAATATTTCTGCAGTCAATGACACAGTTTAAATATTATAGGCTGGCTCTTGAATATTCCCTTTACACGCTTGTTTTATCTGGTAAGTGCAGCAGAGAAGATTTTCCCTAAACCTGCATTTTCATAATACTTTTAAGGGACTTCTGCCGACTGTTGCTTTGAACCCATGTTCCGCTAACCTGCATTCAGCCCTAACCCCATATTGTTTGGGTAAACCGCTTTAGCCGGACGTGCGAAACCGCGGACAGTGTGTTAGAAAGTCAAATCTCATTACGCACACGGGGAGCTTAGCCGTTGGAGCCGCTGCAGCCTCTCGCCGGGGTTAATCTAAATCCACACACTTTAATTTCCTCTTTATCTCACAATGCACTCCTCTTTGTTATGAAAACACACTCCCTCACACCTGTTTACAAAACCAGGACACTTTGGACAGGATTTAAGGTTAACACGGAGCTCAGAAATAGACTTAATTGATTAGAGGAGCATTTGTGGTGTGAGTTTTGATGCAAAATGTTCATATTTGGTACGTGGTATTGCCACCCTCTGCACCCTGACCCCATTCCTGACTCTGCGTTGCGTTCTTATACAGGATACGGCAACGGGGGGGGGCAATAACTTTCTCTTATGTATTATCTTTCTCCATTTTGACATCAATATAGATTTCCAAAGTTAAACATTTAGCACTGAGGTTTAGGGCTGGATAATTTTTTTCTTTTATATATTTCGATTAAAAAGGTCAGTCTAAAGTAAGATTTTTTTATACACTTGACCATAACAAATGGCCAGGGATGCTCCCGGAGAACATCTACATAGAGAGGACTAAAAAAACACATGCCGTCAATATACTGTAGATTCAGCTCAATTATTTTTCTCAGCTTGCCTGAGTCCTGCATCTATAGCCAATGCAGAAGGGTCTAAGGACAGAACATTGAAGAACATTTACCAATAAGCATTGGTCGTCCCTCGCCCTATGTACTAATGGCTCCTTTATGTTGTTGTTGAAATTCCTGTGTTCGGACTGATTCTCTGATCTGTTTTGGGTGAATCGACATCTTTGTGAAGTCCTCTGAGTCGACTGCTGCTGTAGTTATGGGCTTGATACAATAATCATAGCCCAGAGTTTATTTTATTTTATTTTATTCTCATCTTAATTTTATTGTCTATTATCTTAAATAGACTTATTTGATGTGTGCAATCTGAGTGCTCTTATTTCCTGTGTCTGCTGTAATGTGCGCAACGATGACACTGACATTTCTCCACTGTGAGATGAAATAAAGGTTCATCTTATCTTATAATTGATACATTTATTTGAAGTCTATGTAAGTGTAGACTCTCAGAAAGCCAGATTCTGTCAAATGTCTGAAGCTGTTCAGGACAGGGCCTGGTTAGTACTGAGATGGGAGACCTCTTGGAACACCAGGTGACAGTGTAGTGGCTGTAAAGTGCCAAATTTTGGTTGTGTCCTCAGGCAAGACACTTCACCCACATTGTCTAGAATGAGTTTGGTGTGTGAGAGAATGGCACAAACTGGTTGCCTTGCTTCCGTCAGTGTGCCCCAGGGCAGCTGTGGCTATAGTGGTAGTTTATAACCACCCTTATCCCCAGCCTTGTTCGCCATCGCGATTGAACCCCTTGCAGAAAAGATTAGACAGACAAAAAGTGTAATTGGAATTAATATAGATATAAAAGAATACAAGTTAAGTTTATTTGCTGACGATCTGTTACTATACTTGAGGAACATCCAATCCTCTATTCCAAGTACAATGACTATAATAAGGCAATTTTCAAAAATATCAGGATATAAAATAAATATGGAAAAAACTGAAATTTTATCAATCAACCAAAATCAAGAACAAATGGAACAATTAAAACAATTTAAGGTACAAACTAAAATGAAATACTTAGGCTGCTATATAAGCGCTGATAAAAGAACATTGTTTAAGAATAACTTTCAAGGGTTAAAAAATGAATTTAAACATAGTCTTGATAAGTATTCTGACCTAAGGTTAAACTTAATTGGCAGAATAAATGTAATAAAAATGATATGGCTTCCAAAGTTTTTGTATATTTTTCAATGTATACCTTTGAACCCACCCCACATGTAGAAGTGGGTACCCCTACTCATATTGGGATCTGGAATAACCTTCTATACTCCCTTTGATAATCTTCAGGTGAAATTCAAACTTAAAAACTCCGAAGTATTTAAATATATGCAACTGACAAACTGGAAAAAAGAACATTGTGACACCAAGATGATAGTCCCAGAAAAAATTAGACAAATATTTGAAGGAGACAAACGAAAGAGACTTATTTCCACCCTTTACCAATTGCTTATCAAGAGCAGTAAGGATCTTTTTAAGAAAATATACGAAAACTGGAACAAGGACATGAACAGTTCTGATACTGAAATAAAATGGAAAGATGGATTACGACTTACATACTCAGCCACCGCCAATGAAAACCTCCGATTGATCCAATATAAATTAATGACTAGAATGTACTATAGCAGGGATAGAACACACACATTTGATTCCTTATCTGCTCCCACATGTTTGAGATGCGATCAAAGGGACTCGCTCATCCAGGCTTTTTGGTATTGTGAGAATATACGAAGATCTTGGACAGCCATTGAAACATGGCTGTCCAAGTAAGATATGTAAGCAGAAATGTGTCCTTACGCCTAAAGTTTGTCTACTTCAGAACATGGACAAAGTTAGATATCCAATGGGATGGCAAATAATTGTTTCCGCACTGGTTTACAAAAAAATAATCCTACAGGTAGTTTATAACCACCAAGAATAGTGAATGAAAAATGACATATGAAGTGTCTTTGAATGTCCAAAAAAGCACTAAATAAAACCAATGCATTATTAATATTAAGATGAATAAAACCAATCAATTACTAAATTAGCTGACAACGTTTTCAATGGATTTCCTCGTTACAGCCGCACACTGAGGGAGCGTTCTCTCTGACACAGATGTAGATGTTGGCTGACGGTGCAATAAGTACAACATGATTCATGTGGAGCGGGGAACAGACCAGGGGGCCGGTGCTCAGGGGCCTGGAGCTCGTCTGTGGAGAAGCACTTGAGAAGAGGCAGCTGCTTCCTCCTCCTCATCCTTCTGTTTCACACAAAGCCTTTTTGTGTCCGATGTAAAGAAAACATGTGGCTTCTGAAGAGCCGCAGACAAAACTCACTGTCGCACGACTCGTTCGGTTTTCAGTTTTTATTTAGTTTAGATATGGCTGAAAACGGGTTAGTGAAAACATGGTGATTTTGTTTTCGATAACTTTTTTGAAATGTAATAGAATCTAGTACTGAATATACATACATTTTATCACTTGTCTGCTTTATTAGTCCTTGTTCTTCTTGGAAAAAGAATACAGCTGGTATTTTTGCACATTAGTTACCATTCCCGGTAAGGAAAGACGAATATATATATTTTATTTATATATAGCACCTTTCAGAGACCACAATAGTCACTAAGGGGTTTACAATTGTGCTGGCAAGAGAGTCAATTCTTACATTGATTTTATATACATTTTCCTATTGATGGTGTGTGGCTGGCTAAAAGACTTAGTTGACACCAGATTTTGTATTTTAGATTTTTCATACAGACACGGCAAAGATGAACCTGTAACGCAAAGGAAATGACTAAAGAAAAGAAAAAAACGAATCCTCAATAACTGTCCACAAGGAGGGTTTTAAGTACCAACAACCTGGACATGTTTAAATTCACGTTTAACTTCAAAATAAATGTGCAAAGTCCCTGTGAGACCCAATAAACCAAATAACCCTCTCTGCATTTTTGATTCTGGAGCTCCCCGTCTGCTGCCTCTTTCCTGAACTGAATGTAACCCATTTCCTGGATTATTCTCCCCAATAAACTGCACTTCCTGTTTATCCTCTCTTGTCGCCCGCTGGGTTTTGAGGCTATACACTCATACAGCTGTCTTTCCACTCCGGGAAAACTAAACAAGAGGGCATTTCCGCTCTGCAATGGCTGTTTTGGCAAAAGCATTGTCGCGAAACCGTGGCACATCATATCCTATAGCGTTAATAACATGTGAGATTGAGATGTAGCCCTTTCGTTAGCTTTAGCACAACTTTAAAAGACACTTATTTGTTGTTAAAACCCAACGAAAGGTTAAATGTCAGTCGTCTCAAAGGACTCCATAAATGCTGATTTTTCCAAAGTCAAAATGACATTTTGCAACTCATGCTTTCGATTGAATATACAGCTGCAAGCAAGTGATTAAAACAAATCCTAAATATTTTATTTTTAAAGGCTGATTTTTCATGATTTTTCTAACTTGACCAACCCTGCAGTCACATAGAACGTTTTAGAACCTATATTGCAGGATAGTTTCCTTCTACTTTTAATCTGTGGTCAAACTTAGTCCACACATGTAATTATTTAATTTTTCAATATGAGGAAGAGACATTTGAGTTGTTTAGATTTGCATATATTATTATTTTCTAATGTTTATGCCAGGGGAGTCAAACTCATTTTGGTTCGGGGGTTGGGGTTGAAGTCGCTTTTAAAAAAAAATATATATATATATATAGTTGCTTCCTTTGGGTCAAATAATCAGTGTTTGAAGGTATATCAACCGTAATTACATTCTAAGGACTATTTTTTGCCTATATTGGCCTATATTTTGATTTAACCTGAGTTTGGATTATTTATTTTCTGTTAGATTTAGTCCAAACACAACTAGTTGAGTGATAATAACAACACATTGTCCCAACACTGCCATTTTCCACTGGTGTAATCCACTCTACACTTTATTGTGAGAAAAATCTGTTTTGCAGTGGACAAGATCTAAATAGAATACTAACAGTAATAAAACAGAATAGAAGATAAACTATCCATTATGTTAGAAATACCCAGCAACACTTTGAATCTAGCTCCCCCTGGTATCCACTGCCCATAACTCGCTCGGTTGTGGCTCTTTCTCCTCAGAATGCCATGCAGATCGTTGGCTTCATGGAGGATGAGATGCAGTCTGTGCTGGAGCTGGTGGCAGCGGTCCTCAAGCTGGGAAACATAGAGTTCAAACCAGAGTCTCGCTGCAACGGCATCGACGAGAGCCGCATCAAAGACAAAAACGGTCAGTGACATCAGCGGCTTTTTAACGCGACGTCTTACTTCCAGATGGGGAGAATAGTTTTCCCTTTGTCTTTTGTAAGGGGACGTCCACATATTTTAAACCACATCTATTGTTCATGCTATGGAGGTTACTGTGGCAAAGGATGGTCCCAGTTCTATTTTATTGAGTCTATCTCTCTGGTCTCTCTCTGGTCTCTCTCTGGTCTCTCTCTGGTCTCTCTCTGGTCTCTCTCTGGTCTCTCTCTGGTCTCTCTCTGGTCTCTCTCTGGTCTCTCTCTGGTCTCTCTCTGGTCTCTCTCTGGTCTCTCTCTGGTCTCTCTCTGGTCTCCCTCTGGTCCCTCTCTGGTCTCCCTCTGGTCCCTCTCTGGTCCCTCTCTGGTCCCTATATGTCCTTCTCTGGTCCCTCTCTCGTCCCTCTCTGGTCCCTCTCTGGTCCCTCTCAGGTCCCTCTCAGGTCCCTCTCAGGTCTTTCTGTTCTCTCCCTATGTCTCTCTCTCTTGCCTCTCTAGTCTCTCTATTCTCTATGTCTCTCTCCGTTATCTCTCTGGTCTCTTTCTGGTCTCTTTCTGGTCTCTCTCTGGTCTCTCGCTGGTCTCTCGCTGGTCTCTCGCTGGTCTCTCTCTGGTCTCTCTCTGGTCTCTCTCTAGTTTCTCTCTGTCTTTCAGCCCTCTTTCTAGTCTCTCTTTCTAGGCTCATACGGTCTCTCTATTAAGCCCCTTTCTAATGTCTCTGGTCTCTCTCTGGTCTCTCTCAATTCTCTTTCTGGTCTCTCTCTGGTCTCTCTCTGGTCTCTCTCTGGTCTCTCTCTGGTCTCTCTCTGGTCTCTCTCTGGTCTCTCTCTGGTCTGGTCTCTCTCTGGTCTCTGTTATCTCCCTATGTCTCTACTGTATGTCTTGTCTCTCTAATTTCTATGTCCCTCTCTGGTCTCTCTCTGGTCTCTCTCTGGTCTCTCTCTAGTTTCTCTCTATGTCTCTCTCAGCCCTCTTTCTAGTCGCTTTCTGGTCTCCTACGGTCTCTCTATCGAGCCCCTTTCTTATGTCTCTCAAGTCTCTCTCTGGTCTCTCTAGTCTCTCTGGTCTCTCTCTGGTCTCTCTCTGGTCTCTCTCTGGTCTCTCTCTGGTCTCTGTTATCTCCCTATGTCTCTACTGTATGTCTTGTCTCTCTAATTTCTATGTCCCTCTCTGGTCTCTCTCTGGTCTCTCTCTAGTTTCTCTCTATGTCTCTCTCAGCCCTCTTTCTAGTCGCTTTCTGGTCTCCTACGGTCTCTCTATCGAGCCCCTTTCTTATGTCTCTCAAGTCTCTCTCTGGTCTCTCTAGTCTCTCATAAGCTCACTTTCTGGTCTCTTTCTGGTCTCTATGGTCAGTCTCTATGGTCAGTCTCTATGGTCAGTCTCTATGGTCAGTCTCTCGCTCTCTAGCAAACAGAACCGCTAACGGAACCAGAAGAACCGTTGCTTTATTTTCTCATTCCAAGGTACACATTTTGTGTATATTATTTAAAACAGGATAATTTAAACTTTTTCCCATTGGTAAATCTTGTTTTAATGCAGCCACAGAAGATGCATTTAGCCAAATTTTTGACTTATCACTTTTTGCAGTGTAATGATACAATGGTCAAACATCGTAATCAGAAGAGCACATTCTATCATGCCCCTTTGGCTCAAACACGGGTGAAAGTTGATCCACCTTCAGTTCACAGCCTCCTGTCAAAGTCAATGCTCTTTGTGGCATAAACATGGACGCAGCGCTGCCCCCTGTTGGTGGTGGTGATGGTCCCTTCTCCCACTGCCTTCCCACAAATCTCATTTGATTTTATGATTTGTTTGACAAGCTCTAAGGCTCCCACTGCTCTTCTCTTTAGGCAAATAAAAAACATTTCCATATTTCCCTCCATAACAGAAGCAATGATCTGCCCATGCAAACACACACACCTGTGCCACACCACTTTTATTTTTGTTACCGTGCAATTTACATGTCTGTGTGTGGTGTCTGCACAAAAGTATTATTATTATTTATTTTTTAGAATAAAAAATACAAGTGAATATGTTGTGTAAAGTATGGACAGTATTGAATAAAATGTATTGACAATGTCTGAAGTTTCATATTGTGAACAAACGCCAAAATGCTTTTTGGTGTCATCCTGTAATGTGTTTTTTAAGATTTACTTAAATGTATGTATCTATTCAGTTTTTAGTTGTTTGTTTTAATTATGAGTCCAGTATCATATTTGTATGTGTATATTTTTATATTTAATGTCAATTATGCAAAACTATGCTTTTTCCACATACAAAGTTGCATATTGCTCCATTTTTGAGTCGCACATTTCACAGCAGGCTGAAATCCAAACAGAGAAGCTGACATTTCCTCACTGTGGGACAGAACCAAGCAAAGTTGATTTCAAACTCTTTTATTATATAGACACAATGGACAAAAAGGCAATTGCCTTATGCATACTGTGTCCACTCTAAACAAACTATTATAAAAGCAAAGTTTGCATATGAATGTTTTGTGTTTTTTTTCTGTTTGTTCAGATCTGAAGGAGATGTGTGAGCTGCTGGGGGTGGAGCAGTCCGTCCTGGAGAGAGCGTTCAGCTTCCGCACCGTGGAGGCCAAGATGGAGAAAGTGTCCACCACTCTGAATGTGGCTCAGGTCAGACGGTCATTTCAGATTTTATATCTTGTAAAACAGATTTGTCTGTGAAATGAGCACAGAATCGTAACATTTTATCTATTCACAAGTGGGAATTTGCATGTCTCTACTTTCATTGGCAAATCTCTACAGTCAACCAGAATGCATGCAAATCTGAATTTTTCCCAACATTCAAAAAATAATATTTCTTTGCTGTGTATATGCAAATACATAGCTCTTCCTATTGGCTGTGGAAGGCTTCAAGCTCAATACATTTGTGTCCCACTTGACTGGGTCCAGTGGCTGCCGACTCACATCCAGTCGCTGCTGCGGGAAGAAAAATCTCTATTATTTATGAGGGTTCTGCCTGGAAATCAAATGTAGGTCATGGGGTTAGAGTGTCCAGACACAGAAGTGACAGACTGGTTATGAGAGTGGTCCAAGGATAAATGCTGTGTTTGTGTGGTGCTTTGTCTGTCAGTGGAAAACCAAGGAATGGAACTGTGTCTGCATGTTATAACCATTGTAGCTTTTCAAAGTGCAAAAATGCCTTAAATATGTTTCTATAAGTATTGTCCCTGTGTGGAATTGCTGGTTTGGCTTGTTGAGCTATTTAACATACATTTTGAGATATTTATCATATATTGTGAGCTATTTTTTGTCTGTATTTTTTATTTTTTGTCTTCCCAGATTTTTTTTACATATACTGTATGTATAGTTTTTTAATGCATCAATTTTATATAGGGCTTTATTGGACACACAACAACAACACTACACAATGGTGATAAACTACTGTTGTAGCCACAGCTGCCATGGGGCACACTGACAGAAGCGAGGCAACCAGCATGCGCCATCAACCCCAGTTTGACATTTGATAATTTTGACACTTTACAGCCTGCCTTGCTTAGCTTCAGAGGCGCTACATGTTTTAGCATTTATTCTGGACCTGTGTGTGTCAATGTTTGTTTGTATTTGTATATTGAAAAATAAGAGGGGAAAATACATACATTTATATATTTAAAAACCTAGTCAATGTTATTTTATTAATCTTTTTTTCCAGTTATGAGAATTACAGTGCATCTGGTTTGGTGTCGTTTTTAACTTCTTGAAGAGGTCTTTTGGAAGGCCAGCGCTAACCCACTGGGACATCATTAAAGACAAAACGAAAAACCAAACCAGTTCTTGTCTGTCAGTTCAGATTGGATTAAAACCGAGACTGCATCCTCAAAAGTGTAATTTAGAATAATTCGACTGAACTTAAGTTGCACTTTTGAGCTACTTTCTTATGTGGGTTTGAATCTCTCTGAATATTCAGTCGATCTCGTTGCAGGCTTACTACGCCCGGGATGCCCTTGCCAAAAACCTCTACAGTCGCCTCTTTAGCTGGCTGGTCACGAGGATCAACGAAAGCATCAAAGTGAGTCATGCCTCTGTTTTTTTGTACCAATTACATCTTGAATCTTAGTAATAGTAATAGTCATTCATTTCAGTCAAATTGTCAGTGAATTAATGTCAGTGCTTTTTCTGTTGAAATGTATTCTGTAACTGACTGAAAGGGTTATCCACTCTTTCAAAGCCTAACCCTTGAACCGGCTCTGTGAATAAAGATGCAGTTATTCTCTCCCATGCCTCTAAATATGCTAAAGTTTTTATACTTAAGTCCTACTAAAGTTCGAGATTGTACTAAAGATAGAGATTTTATACTTTTTTCTTTTTATGCTAGTTAGTTTTTTTTTTTGTTTTTTTTAGATTTTGGATTTTATTTTAGATTTTAGATTTGATTTGATTTATTTTGGTATAGAGCCAGCATGTCCAAACTGAGGCCCACGAGCCAACTGCGGCCCTCTTTGTTATTAATGTGGCCCTCTGCTGCTAACGTAGTCTAAAGTCTACTAAAGTCCAAAGTCGTCTTTGAGATTGTAAACGCAATGTCATATGTAGCTGGCGAGATGGTAAACATTTGTCATTCAGCTAACTTCAGCTCTGACACTGCTCATTTTAAAGCCTGAATCTTGTTTAATCTTTACAATCTCGTCGTCGGCTTTTGGACAAGCCTGGTGAACAAAAATAGCTCTCCTACGATGAAGTCTGGGCTACTGGTATAGACCTATTATCAGTTTATCTTGTGTTGTGTGCTCCTCATTCCTACTGTTCTATAACTTGTGATGCAACACTGACATTTCCCCGCTGTAGGACTAATAAAGGATCTAAATCTTGATCTTTAGGCGCAGGCCAAAACCAGGCACAAAGTGATGGGCGTGCTCGACATCTATGGCTTTGAGATTTTTGAGGTAAGACGCACAATAGTGATGTATCTAACGGCTCAGGGTTTGTTTTCTGATCAGACAAAACATTTGACTGAATTTCTCCGACAGGGATCAATAAAGTATCTATCTATTACGACCGCCTTTGTGACATAACTAGCCTCTTGAATAAACATGACATAAACTGCATTCCTAGCTTTTAAGCAGTTTGGTACTGTCGTCTGGAATATCACTAGTTTTCACATGAATCCAAGTTCGGCCTCTGTCACAGCTTTACATCCGATTTTTCAAAGAGTGATAAAGAGAGGACCCCCCTTCACTCAGCCAATCAGCTCTCAGTCCAGACTCATTGGGGTCTTACAAGTAAAAGAGTGAGTTAAAAAAATACAAAATAGATGAAGACCGAAAGAATATTGTGGTTTGATTTTTTTTCACTCTGTTGGAACAAAAATATACATTATTTATAAAAAAATAAAGTTATCTCCCCCAGTTATCGAAATAGTGTAACTTATTTATTTTTTTCAGTCAAAGATCTGTCCTTTTCTTTGGAATAAAAATCTGCCTTAAATATTTACTTTGATGAAGAGACGAGCGGGGAGCCCTCACACAGATCTGCAGTTTCGAAGATGATTAAACCCGGGCTGCTTTTCCAATGTTTTCAAACTTTTTTCTTTGTGTCTTTGTAGTCATATTTGTAGTGAATATCCCAAAACACCATTACCAACCATAAACTTACCAATTGGCTCTAGCTCTGTGAACATGGCTTGGTTTGTTCTCTAATCAACATTTCAAAGTTTGCCCTTATTTTCAGTCATACACAGATGAAAATCTAATCAATCCAATATAAAATACTCGAAAATAACATAAAATACTCGAAAATAATCTGGAATAAGTATAATGGTATACATGTCAAAGGTTACAGACTTTCTCAAACCAGAAATTCCCCTTCATTAAAGCTCGGGTACCTATTTTCAAACGATAAATGACCATGACGTGAAATCGATCTAGTAGATCTAGATCTCTCTGTAGTTTCAAAACAGTTCGGTTATTTTTCGTTTTTACATTTTTAAGATCAGATTTTTCGAACAGGAAAGTGACAAAGAGATGACCACCCTCACTCAGCCAATCAGCTCTCTGCCCAAATCGTGACTCAAAGGACTTGTGTGTATTTTTTTTAATGAGACAAACTTGGGGCAATCTTCCCTTTTTAGGTGTGTGCTAAAAATATATAAAAATGTTAAAACATATTTATGGATTTTATTAAGGATGAAATATTTATTTTGATTTAGAGATATAGATTGTTTTCAAATGTAATATAAGTAGAATTAATATAAATGGATATCTTTTGTTATTGTGACTTTAACAACTATTCCTTTTCACCAAACAAGATAAAACTGTATTATAGTGTTGTATGTGTGTTCAAACGGGGCAAAAGCCATTGTTTTTCACAAAAAAAAGATGTCAAAAGTCTATCTCTGAAACAACATGCATAAGTTCTGAAATGAAGTCATGTACCTCAGTCTGAACATCTATAAAGAAGAGTTTTGCGTTGTCGCTCGCCTCCTGTGGTCGCTTCATGTTCTGTCTGATCAGATTCCAAACTCACTCATATTTTCTTCTGGCAGTAGTTAGTTTTGCCCATATCGCCTGCTGCCCCTAGTCCATTCCCCCTTCATGCATTTGATGTATTTTTGACATGCCTGCTTGTTCACCCACTCACTCTCAAGTCTTCTGTGGCTGTTGTTTTGTCGGTCCCAGGACGGAGTAAGTAACACCTGTCCATTGTGTGTTTGCAGTGTGTGCATGGCGTGCTCTTTTAATTCTGCTCTGAAGTCTCTGTAGGATCCTTAGTGTGCAGCAAGGACCAAACGTTAGAGGAAAAATGCTCTAGAATTGTTCCACTCTGCAAAAATGTTCATGTGTAGATTTTAACAGATTGTAATATTTTTGCTCATTTTCAACTTGGACTGTTGTTCTGTTGTGTGTGTTGTTGTGTTGCATTTAGTTATATTGATTCCAGGCAACACACATCTTACGTTATCTAAAGTGATTTTATTTAAGAGTATTTAAGCTGTAGAAAGGGGTTATTTGTTTTGCCATCGTCTGTGAATCGGTGAATTCACAAACCACCAGGAAATTGTTCTGACATTTATGGAGCAATAAGATAAAGGGGATATTAGAAATGTAGACAAATATTTATAATACAATTCTATCCATCCATCCATCAATCCATTTTCTTCCCCTTAATCCATCTCTGGGTTGGGCGGTAGCAGTCAGAGCTGCACCCAATTCTACAATATGTTCTTATATTAATGAACGATTTGATTGATGTTATTAATTTATTCAGCTAATTTTATATTAGAGTATATGGCACACATTAAAATAATAATAAATGCAATTAAACTTCTCTCAAAGGACAAAGGGATGTCCATAAAGTTACTAAAAGCATCCAACGCCCTATCAAAGCAATATCCTAGACTTGGAAAAAGGAAAGTGAAGATTGGGAGAGGAGTGATTTATAGTGATTTATTAAACATACAACCTGTGGCACAGGGTTCTGAAATACATAAGAATCCTAAAGCTAAAAGTTTTAGATGACCTCGAAAAATTAAATCACACAAAAATTGCCCGTTGCTGTCTGATTTGGTCACAAACGTCTGCTTTTACAAAACCTTCTGTTTGGAACAAAGACCTGAAGAGTTCCTTTGGCAAAACAATATCTCTGTATACATTTCAATATATGTTGCTATTGTCCGCACATTTTGGAGAATTGGCTCAGGAAGGGTTGAAACGTTATTCGTGTGGCATTAAAATATGTCTAGCGTTTTAAAAAAACGCTTTGTAAAGGGCCAAGTTGTAAGCATTTAAAATATGGTCCTAATGGCACTTATCCGTTTTTGCAACTTTTCATGCATTATTTAGGTTAATGGTCCCCAACATTATTCAATCAGAGAGCTACTTTATACAATAGAAGAGCCAGAGAGCTACTCAGTTTTACCGTCGTAATAATAACGACAAAACATGGAGAACACATGTAAAATATTCTATAATACCAACAATTTACAATGTATAATAACTCAATGTGTGTTCAATTCTAAATCCATTGGGGAGCTTCCTGAAGGGGACCAGGAGCCACAGGTTGGAGATCCCAGCTTTAATATTTCTAGGCTGTCTCATGCCATTTTGTTAATCAAAGTAAAGACACATTTATGTTTGCTTCATGAATAAAGAAAGGAGGATTGCGTCTGGCTATATTCCTGAATGCACACAACAAAAGCATGTCGCATGGTCAGCTCTTCTCTCCATCTCTCCCCCTCTCCTCCCGATGCATAAAACACACATTGAAAATATGGCTCCTATCATATTTTATGGTTCAACCGCTTTCCACGGAGTCACTGAGTCAACAGCGACAGAAATATGCCTGCTGCCCGTTTGTTACTTCCTTAAATTATCATTTACAGTGTGTCATAAAAAGGTGGAGTTTTATGACGTTTCGCCGTTGGTTGGACCGTATTTTAAGCCGGTCTTTGCTGCCACTGGGGTCTATCGCCGCCTATAGACATGTCAATTTGTGAGTGTGCTTTTTATGAAGAGTGAAGGAGACATAACAGTTTCTCAGAATAAGGAAAAAGAGGTCAAGACTAACATGATATTACAAATAACATACAATAACTTTGAGTCTTGTTCTATTTCCTGGTCTGAAAAATGGACGTTGATGTTTCTTCGCTGTGTATGAATGTCTAACCAAACTCCTTTCTAACCCATTGACTCGGCTTTTCATCCGACTCCAGGCTCAGAGGCCGTAATGGGTCACGTCACCACAAATACAAAAAATGAATGTATTTGTGATCATAACATGGTCAACTTTAAGCTAATTTGGTCTTTTTTGCATCTCTCAACCCTTTATTGGTTTCCTCAACCATTTGGTAGATCACATTTTGTGGATCTACTTGAAGCTTGGAACTGAAATCTACCTCATTGGGGCATCTTTTGTTTGGCTTTTAGACACATTTACCATCAAACCGCATTCCCACCATTTGGTAAAGGCCCATGACAACAAAAATAAAAACTAGGGGTTCAAATAAACAAAACACTAAATATTTTGTTCAGTAAAATTGTGTTGTAAATGCCGTCTTGATTGGAAAAGATGCCTCCGTATTTACCATAATAAAGGTTTGATTAGTGGTTGGTGTTTGTTCCTAACCCTCCCACAATTCAACTCAATAATACACAGAATACAACGCAATTAATCAACATACAGAAAACAAATGTGATACTGTGCAGTACATGTTCAGTAATATACAAAACCTTAACATGGGGTATAGACACAGCAGAGAATACAAAAGCCTTTTTCATCTCCAGGGAAAGTCATGCATTTGATGGGTGTGGAGTTAATTGTGGTTCTTCGTTTTTGATTGTTTGTAACTTTAGCTCATAAATCGCTTCTCGTTCCTGATCTTTCTCCCACTGATTTTCTTCCGTAGGACAACAGCTTCGAGCAGTTCATCATTAACTACTGCAACGAGAAACTGCAGCAGATCTTCATCGAGCTCACGCTGAGGGAGGAGCAGGAGGAGTACGTCCGAGAGGTATGGACGCCATGAATGCTGCTACTGGACAGCTGAAATTCTCCTACAATATGGGGGATCATGCGTGAATTTCCAGCGGGCGCCCTGGTTTTCTATACCGCTAAAAAAATTTGCAATCTGTCTGGATGTAATGTATGTGTGCATGGATTAAACCAAAAGTGGACCAACGGTGAAGAGGCCTGAGTGTAAAACGTATTTACAGATTCTTGTTTTTGACTTATTACTGGGAAGGGTCCTGGGCCGCATAGAAGTATGAATCTGTCCGCATGTAGCCCCCAGCCCACAGTTTGGCCAGGTCTGCTTTGGAAAATTTGGGAGACTGAATCGACCCTAGAAAACTTCAAAAAAGTGTTTCTGTACTTCTCATGAGATTAGAGAACAATATTAATTTACATAATTGTGATGAAAATGCCGCAGTCCAGGTGTATCATGCAATAAGAAAAGAACAGGTGTGTGTCAGGGGCTGAAAATGGAGATTGTGTTGGTAAATATGTTCTGAAAAAGGGGGAAGTATCTCATAATATAACAAAAATTGAAATAAACTATATTACATGGCTAAAAGTTGAATGTTTAAGTAAATCAGTTTGTAATAAATCACTATCTCTTGTACCCTCATCAATACATTAGCATTTCTCACATCACTACTTGAATTGTAAAGTTTATAATCCATCACGTCAACCCAACCACGTCTCATCCGTTTCACCTTCCGTGCTTTTTTGCCAAAAGTCTACATTCCAACCCCCAACTCAATTTTGTTCACTGCTGTTTGTGTCTGTCCAGCCTCTTCGGAAGTCCCCTCTCTTTGTATGTTATAAGTGCAAGTTCTCAAAGCAAAGTGGGGACACGGACCTCTTCTGCTCCATAACATAAGAACTGAAAACAAACACGCACAAACACTTGCACTAATACTTATTTTATTCTATTCAATTATTAGCCAAGTGAAGTATAACTTATCAAAATAAACAATTTGATCTGTTGCTTATGACATCTCATGTTGTGAATATACATTAGGGTGTCCTAGGTCAGGCGTCACCTTAAAAAAATGGTTCATGTCCCCACCAGACACAAGCACTAGACGTGTGTGAATGTGTTTAAGTGCAGAGACTGACCCCCACACCCCTCTTCATCACCACCATATCCAACCCCCCTTCCTTTTCCCCCTTTTCCCCCTGTCCCGTCCGCTGCATGGGAAAATACCACAGTCCTGAGAGAACCGGTCCCGGACCCCAAACAGGAATGTGACTGGTCCCTCCGTCGAGTCTGCTTTTCTGTACACTATTCATAGATCGTGCCAAAATGCCTTGTCAATCCTGTCAAATCCGAGGTGTATAACTCCTAATGAGCGAAAATAATAAACAAAAAGAGCAGAAAACATTTATTATTTTTGTGTCATTGTAGAAATAATGCTATATGTAATGCCACTTGAGCTGAGACTGGGCCACGTGGGCATCAGTCCGAGCTGAGATCCGGACTTAGGATTGACCCGGATGAGCTGGAGGAAGTGTGCATGGAAAATTAAGGTGTTCCCCACCTATTTACAGTAATATTGATAATACTTATGCTTGGGTTTTATATAGTGCTTTTTTGGACACTGAAAGAGTATCCACATGTTATTCATTCACTCCATAATGGCAGAAGCAAATACACACACACATGCGCACACACACCAGACTTATTTGCGATGTGGGTGAAGTGTCTTGCTACCCCACTGTAGCAGCTGGCGTTCCCAGAGGTCTCCCATCACAGTACTAACTATTTGCCTTCTTTTCCACAGTTACAGTAAGTAAGTAAGTAAGTAATCTTTATTTATATACCGCCTTTTCACTGCACATCGGAGTCTCAAAGCGGTTTACAATTGTTATTTTTGGGAGCAGGGGTGCCAGTACAGGAGGCACATGCCAGACCTATTGTACATATTTTTAGTGGTAGGGGAAACCGGAGCACCCGGAGGAAACCTACGCAGACACGGGGAGAACATGCAAACTCCACTCAGAAAGGCCCTGGTCCAACCGGGATTCGAACCCAGGACCTTCTTGCTGAGAGGCGAGAGTGCTATCCACTCAGCCACCGTGCCGCCCACCGTGCCGACTGATTTATGAGTCAGTCATTCATAAATTGGGAATGACTGACTCTGGTTTCTCTGTGGGTTTAAGCAATCATCCCAGATTGAACTTCACCCATAGGACCTTTTTTAATTTTTTATTCATGTATGTATTTGTTTATTTGGAGGAGTGTATTAATGAACAGTAGATTTTAGCTTTGGGCTAATTTCCATCTGTAGTCCCACAGTCCCACTCACAAACACACACACACACACACGCATTCACCCTGACTGAACGAGTGCACTTGTTTTTAGTGGTACAGGAGAAACTGAGGCACCCGGAGGAAAACCCACGCAGACACGAGGAAAACATGATTGAAAATATTCTCTTTTTATAGCAACTGCTGTTTCAATGGTGGTCTTAAGGTTGTCCATTTGATATATGATGGTTTTGAACTTTCTCAAAATGGAAGATTTGACCCAGATTTAATGGATTCATTTTTATTACAATACCCCACAGTTTTCCTTCAGGGCAGTGAACATGAGGTTTGAAGACACAAAGCCTCATTCATGGACTCCACTGGCAATGACGGAGATGGCAGATTGCAGCCCGATCGTATCAAATTGTAATCTAAAACACGACCGCTTAAGGCCCTGTCTGTAGCCACATGCAAAAAAAAGCCTCCACTCTTTCCACTCGGATAATATTTGACCAAGATAATGTTATGAAATGAATCGCCAAATGTCTTAAAAAAGCCTTTCTTGGTTATAAGGCTCCTTGTTTTTATTTCTCTTTGGTTCTGGACATACACTGACCGCTGCTCCTCCTCTTTCCTTTGTTGCAGGGCATAGAGTGGACCAACATCGAATACTTCAACAACGCAATTATCTGCGACCTCATCGAGAATGTAAGTCGGCCTCTGCATCTTCGGACACAAACAAAGCAATTCAGACAAAAAAATTTTTTTTCTCTAAGTAAATAGTGATTTAGAAAAGATAAGATTGTTCCTCCGGGGGCCATGCTTGAATCTAATCAAGTCTAATTTAATAACCACACTGCAACAAATGAGGAAATAAAGAAGTCAAAAATTGCTTAAATTTGGCATATTTTGACTGCCTTAAGATTTGCCAATGGGAAAGAATTGTCTCCTTTTGGATTGGGAAAATAAAGCCAGAGTTCTTGAAATAAGACTAAATTGTTTTGTCCCGTCGGCAAATATTGTTTGAACACAGTCAAAATGTACTCAAAGTAATATAAAAAACACTTGATTCAAGAAATTATTACCTCATATTTTATCATTTGTTTGCAGTTTACACAAGGAATTCACATTATATTGTGTTTTTGTATTTATTTAAATTATATTAAGGACTAATATACAGGCATAAGATCCATAGATGATAAGAAAAATACAACAACAACAAAAAGTCAGATAAGAAAATAATATTATTTGTGATTATTTTCCCCAGAACCAAAACGGGATCTTGGCGATGCTGGATGAGGAGTGTCTCCGTCCCGGGACAGTCACAGACGAGACGTTTTTGGACAAACTGAACACAATCTGCGCAGAACACCAGCATTTCGAGAGCCGCCTCAGCAAAAACTCAAAGTTTCTCACAGACCACAGCCTGCCACACAACTGCTTCAGGATCCAGCACTACGCAGGGAAGGTAGAGGACCCACACCATTATAGTCTGTTGTCCAAGTACTACTGCTGTTTTTGTGCTTTTCTTAGTGTGCCGATGTGACGAGCAAAAAGTGTTATTTTGCTAGTTTTTTGTCAAGCTTGGTTTAAAACAGTGATGGTCTGGGTTGAAAACGGAAAAAGTAGTCCCATGTTGAAGTGGTTAAATGACCCAATGTGTGTGGTTCATAAAGTAGCAGACAAAAACAAGGAGAACCAAAGCTGCATCCAGCTTTTAATGTATTATTGTACAGGCCAAGATCAGTCTCGAGGGGCATCACAGACTTGCCCATTCACCAGCAGCCAATTTAGAATTAAAATATTAAAATAAATGCAGCAATAGATCGTCTAAGAGTCCTAGGATAACGGGTTGAATATCGAAGTGATTTGAGTGATTCACCAATATGTGTTTTATGTTTAATTTCTTTTTCATTCTAAATTGGCTGCTGACGAATGGACAAGTCTGGATCCTGGACATGTTTGAGGAGATGCTAAAGTTAACTAAATAGTGTTACAGTCACTTTTGTGCCTCATTTCTCAGCTGGTGCTTTTTGTTGCACTCCCCTCTTTTTGACTGGAGATCACAGGAGAACAAAACAAGCTTGAAACAAACTTATTTTTGCTGCTGAAAGTAGACAGTCATCAAAAATGGCCGGCAGTGACCCAGATTTTTTTCTACTCATAAAATGCGTGCACTGTAAAGAAGACGTGTTTTAACTTTTCTGGACATGTAGAAATAGTTCCATGTATTTCTCCCGCTCTGTCCCAGGTGCTTTACAGAGTGGAGGGTTTCGTCGACAAGAACAACGACCTCTTGTACCGCGATCTGTCCCAGGCCATGTACAAGGCCAACCACAGCCTGATCAAGCAGCTGTTTCCGGAGGGGAACCCAGCCAAGGTCAACCTTAAGAGGCCCCCCACCGCCGGCTTCCAGTTCAAGCACTCGGTCGGGACCCTCATGAGGAATCTGCAGACCAAGAACCCAAACTACATCAGGTTTATATCTCCTTACGCAAAACAAGTGTAATTGAAATGAACGGTTCTTACACAAAGTAGTCTGAAGAATCAAAATGTCAATTCTAGACAAAGACACAAACTGTATATTTCTTCTCATAAACAAGAAATATACAGAAAAAAACAATTGCCAGACGTAGTTGCACATCTGTTTACATTTATTTTTTAAAGAAATTAACACTGGTGTGTGCAAATAGTTATTTTCTTCAAAGTTGCAGCAGTCCTAATGTTTCATCACTCTGATCCATTGAGACAGAGGCTTTTTCTCCCATTTTTACCAATTACTAAATTAACCATGAATTTTTAGAATGGAATTTTATAGCTCATTTAGCCTGATTGTTTGAAATTTACAGTCTATTTTTCTAAAGATTAAATCATGCTTAAGGAGTGTCTAAAGTAAGTATCTTTATTTACAAACGTACATTCTTGAGTGTTTTCATTCAGGCGGCCTTCTCGTCATTGCAGAGGACGTGTGTTCTGAAATCTTGTTTTAACTTTGTCGCCTTCTTCTCTTGTCCAGGTGCATCAAACCCAACGACAAAAAGGCGTCCCACATTTTCACCGACTCTCTGGTGGGTCACCAAGTGCGGTACCTGGGTCTGATGGAGAACGTGAGGGTGCGGAGGGCGGGCTACGCCTTCAGACAGCCGTACGAGCCTTGTCTGGAGCGCTACAAGATGCTCTGCAAACGCACCTGGCCCCACTGGAGAGGACCGGCCAGGTTTGGACCATGTTAAATATGTTTCTCAAAATGCGTTACGCACATTAGATACATTTAGAGCAGTGGTTCTCTCTGGAACGCAGTCACATATAGTCCACATATAATGCCAAGACGTGACCCTAATAATAACCAACCTTAGCAGCGTATATTTGTATAGATAAAGTCAAATATTATAGATTTACACAATTATTTTATAGGATTGAATAATTCTACTAAACTCAAATCATGATCAAAAACACTTTGAGCACACATATACTGTTTGCTTAGTAAAGGCCCACTTTTGGGTCCCAACCCTTCAATCAAAAACTTATGATTTTGAGTAATTTAATGTCTCCCGTGAGTCTCGCTTCAAACTGCTTTAATAATAACAAATCTAGTTTTATTTCAGACAGGGCTTCAGGACTGCTCAGTAAAGTCTTCATTTGGATCTAATTTGAATATAGTGTTACTTTCATAAATCATATAACAAAACATGGTTGAACTCTGGAGGAAAATGGCTGTTTATGAATAGAATAGTGTCGGGAGCACAGCGGTGCTGTCAGGCCTCTAACCTTGACCTAAAAATGGTACCACTCAAAAAATGGGGTTCCCAACTTTTAAACCACAAACAAAAGAAAATCCATTCCTGGCTCTTAACCAGTTTTGTTTTTTCACTAGTTTTCACATACAGTGCCTTGCGAAAGTATGCGGCCCCCTTGAAGCTTTCAACATTTCGCCACATTTCAGGCTTCAAACATAAAGATATAACATGTTTTTTTTTTTTCATGAATCAACAAGTGGGACACAATCGTGAAGTGGAACAAAATTTATTGGATAATTTAAACTTTTTTACAAATAAAAAACTGAAAAGTGGGGCGTGCAATATTATTCGGCCCCTCTACTTTCAGTGCAGCAAACTCAGTCCAGAAGTTCAGTGAGGATCTTTGAATGATCCAATGTTGTCCTAAATGACTGATGATGATAAATAGAATGCACCTGTGTGTAATCAAGTCTCCGTATAAATGCACAGCTCTTTGATAGTCTCAGGGTTCTGTTTAAAGCGCAGAGAGAACCATGAAGACAAAGGAACACACCAGGCAGGTCCGAGATACTGTTGTGGAGAAGTTTAAAGCCGGATTTGGATACAAAAAGATTTCCCAAGCTTTAAACATCTCAAGGAGCACTGTGCAAGCAATTATATTGAAATGGAAGAAGTATCAGACCACTGCAAATCTACCAAGACCCGCCAAACTTTCATCTCAAACAAGGAGAAGACTGATCAGAGATGCTGCCAAGAGGCCCATGATCACTCTGGATGAACTGCAGATAACTACAGCTGAGGTGGGAGAGTCTGTCCATAGGACAACAATCAGTCGTGCACTGCATAAATCTGGCCTTTATGGAAGAGTGGCAAGAAGAAAGCCATTTCTCAAAGATATCCATAAAAAGTCTCTTTAAAGTTTGCCACAAGCCACCCGGGAGACACACCAAACATGTGGAAGAAGGTGCTCTGGTCAGATGAAACCAAAATTGAACTTTTTGGCCACAATGCAAAACGATATGTTTGGCGTAAAAGCAACACAGCTCATCACCCTGAACACACCATCCCCACTGTCAAACATGGTGGTGGCAGCATCATGGTTTGGGCCTATTCTTCAGCAGGGACAGGGAAGATGGCTAAAATTGATGGGAAGATGGATGGAGCCAAATACAGGACCATTCTGGAAGAAAACCTGTTGGAGTCTGCAAAAGACCTGAGACTGGGACGGAGATTTCTCTTCTAACAGGACAATGATCCAAAACATAAAGCCAAATCTACAATGGAATGGTTCACAAATAGACGTATCCAGGTGTTAGAATGGCCAAGTCAAAGTCCAGACCTGAATCCAATCGAGAATCTGTGGAAAGAGCTGAAGACTGCTGTTCACAAACGCTCTCCATCCAACCTCACTGAGCTCGAGCTGTTTTGCAAGGAAGAATGGGAAAGAATTCTAGTCTCTCGATGTGCAAAACTGAGAGACATACCCCAAGCGACTTGCAGCTGTAATTGCAGCAAAAGGTGGCGCTACAAAGTATTAGCGCAAGGGGGCCGAATAATATTGCATGCCCCACTTTTCAGTTTATTTGTAAAAGAAAGTTTAAATTATCCAATACATTTCGTTCCACTTCACGATTGTGTCCCACTTGTTGTTGATTCTTGACAAAAAATTAAATTGTTATATCTTTATGTTTGAAGCCTGAAATGTGGCGAAATGTTGAAAGGTTCAAGGGGGCCGAATACTTTCGCAAGGCACTGTACCTTTTAGATCAATCTTTTCAGACCAAAAAGGCCCCCAAAGCATCAAATTGTGACTAATAATAGAGGTATTTTTGAGTAGGCAAAATATATATATATATATATATTATGTAATTTAACTTTTACATGACTCTTTCAAGACAAAGTAGAATTTATGATGGAAAAAGTGAGTTCCTCCAGCTTTAAGTTTGTAGTTGTCATTACTTCCAATTAACTTCACACCTCAGACATCGCCGGCTCCCAGCGCTCACTGTACTTTGTAGTGAATGACTCGTGTTGCGCCAATTCCAAAATAAATGGTTTGAACTCTGAGGGAAAGTGTGTGAAAAGTGCGAGAATTGCTGACAGCTGCTGTGTACTGTTGTTAGAGTAGCACAGTCGCTCCCAGAGGATCTACACGGTGACCGGGGCTAATGGAGTGGTCAGTCCCAGGTGTGACCCAAGTGGAGCTGGAGGCCTGTTTCCAAAAGGAGGGATCCAATCCACCTCCCCAGACAAGTGCAGGAAGAAATTAGGACGTCTATAGTGTCCTTAGGGGAAAGGGAAATGGCAGGGATTGGAAAGCAGCGATACAATGCCATTACTTTTTTCATAACTAATTCATGTTGAAAGAGTAGACAACTGAAAGACAGAATGCTAATAAATACTAGATAAAGAGACCAATTTGATGGATTTGATCACATAAGCCCCATTTCCACCAGCCCCACTTAGCCCTACTTTACTCAGCTCTACTGTACCCCATTTGGTAGCATTTTTACCATTGGGATTGAGTAGTGGCCCTATTTAACCGGTACTAGGTACTGTTTAGCACCTGCTTGGCCTTGATTCAATCCTGGTCAGGCTGCTAATAAAGTGTTCTACCTGACAGAGATTGCTGCCATGGTTACCACAGAATGTCCACCGATACTGGTCTGTTGTGGGTATGTTGCCAGGATGATACCAAATACCAAAGCGTAATAGAAATTCAACCAGGTAGAGTAAAGCCACGCAAAGCGGAGCCGAGCAGTGTCTAGTGTGGCTGGCTGAAACAGGGTTAAGTTTTTTTTTAATAATAATAGATAATAATAATAATGCTTTTTATATATATGGAACCCTTACATATGCGAACACATCTCAAGGTGCTACAGCAAGTTAAAAATATATCACAACACAACAGAATTAAAACAAGTTGTGTTTTGATAAAAAGGCCTGGGCGGCAGATCACATAAAATCTTCCCATCTTTCTTGACAAAAATAAAATCGTGTGACGTTTTTATGAATTGTTTGCAAGGCCCTGGGTTTGGCCAAACTTTCCCAAGTCTAATGAGACTTCTTTAAAACCAGCTCGGGGACCATCATTCACAAAGTGCCACATCTCTTTCCGAGACCAAAGCATGCCCAGACTTCTTTCTTATCTCTAACTCGTGAATTGTAGAGAGACTTGAACACTTCGTCTGCTGCTGGTAAGAGATTTAGATCTGCTCTTACATCCAGCACTAAACTTGGAAACGTTTTGATTCAAAAAGCCTCAAGATTTTTGACAATTTGAAATGATAAGATCTGTATTCAATTGTAACTCACACACTTGGTATTGGAGGGGATTCTAAATTATACAGTATGTCCCGATTACTGCAATTATGTATTTATTGGTAATTTGATTCTACTTCAAGATTTATAATTGTTAGGTTTTTCTTTTGTTAATTAAGAAATCCATTATTCGTCCCACAATGGGGAAATTTCAGTTTAGCATTACCAGTTACAGAAAAGTATAAATGCAACCAGCACAAGACAAAAGAAAAATCACTAATTAAAAATAAAATCTAAATCTGTAACTCTAGCAGGAAAAAAAACACAGTATAAAAATCTGTCTTTAGCATAATAAAGAGGTTATTCAAACACGTTTTGGCTTTTGCGGTAGGAAATATTTACTTTCACAAACTCCGTTAACTTGAATTAGGACTGTATATTTTCTGACATACTGTATGGGGAACAAACACATTTAAATAATATCGGATCAACAATGTTTTTCCCTATTTAACTAAATTACTATAGATTTTGAATATACGCATATACTGGTACATTGACACTTCTCCCTAATCCTTCATAGTTATTTGTGTTGGCTGTTTTTATTACATTAACAGCTCTTTTCCTCTTTTATAGGGAAGGTGTGGAGGTGTTGATGACAGATCTCCAAGTCAATCCAGAAGAGTTTTCCTACGGCCGCTCCAAAATCTTTATTAGGAACCCCAGAACTGTGAGTAATGCATCCCACCAGTGAAGGGTCTGAAAACGTCCTGAACCATGACTTAGAATAGAACATCTTCTTCTACTAGAAATTAATCTTTGGCCGGTATCATACACAAACACAGTGAAGACATACAAGAGTAAAAACTACTAATTTAACTCACAATAGCACTGCCAAAGCCTAAGCCAAATTTTACTATTCTGACAAAAGCACTTGATGTTCCTCTGCTGCTGTTGCTCTGACAACTGTACCACTAAAATACACACCCACTTCTCCTCATTTGCCTGAAATATACTGATATTTGTTCTTTACAACCACTAGAAGGTTGCGTTTTAATTGCTGTTTGAAAGTTGACTCTAAAAGAAGTACATTTTCAGTAATTCTTTGGGTATAAATACCGACAATCCTCTGATGCAATACTGCATCAATTTGTCTGTGCACAAATTATTAGTTTCAATTTTTGAATATGAAATTCCATAAGTCCACAGGGTGCGGAATGGCCAATATCCCTAAATGTTAAGAAACGTCCATAAATGTCCTCTAATGTCCCGTATGATCTCAGTCCGTCTGCATCAACAAGAAACAACTCAGGGAGGCCCACATTGAGAGAGAGAGATAGAGGTGAGGCCCACTTTGAGAGAGAGAGAGATAGAGGTGAGGCCTACATTGAGAGAGAGAGAGATAGAGGGGAGGCCCACATTGAGCGAGAGAGAGAGAGGGAGGGGAGGCCCACATTGAGAGAGAGATAGAGGTGAGGCCCACTTTGAGAGAGATAGAGGTGAGGCCCACATTGAGAGAGAGATAGAGGTGAGGCCTACATTGAGAGAGATAGAGGTGAGGCCCACAGTGAGAGAGATAGAGGGGAGGCCCACATTGAGCGAGAGAGAGAGAGAGGGAGGGGAGGCCCACATTGAGAGAGAGAGAGAGAGAGATGAGGGGAGGCCCACATTGAGAGAGAGAGACACGGACCAACAGTATCCAAGACTCGGGCTGACTGATTTGAATATTTTTGAATCATTTATTGTGCTGTTTGGTGACTTTTTATTGATTTGATTTTATAGGGAAAAATATACACAATATGAAACACACATTTAAAGCAAAGGCTTATTGAAATACTTAATCAATATATATTTTAAGAGATGCTTTAAAGAGCACACAACACAAAATAAAAGCAATAACTAATAAAATAAAATCTCTAACTCAAGAATAAAATCTATAACTTTAGCATAGTAAGGAAAGAAGTCTCCAACATTAGCATGATGAAGAAGCAAGACTTGGGTACAAAAAACCCTGACTTTAGCATGATAAGGCGCAAACTACCACAATATTGTAAAAATGCTATATAGAAATGTGGAAATCCTCTCTTGACCCCAGCTGGTGTCTCATGACCAATTTGGGAACCACTCCATCAAGGAATTGTATTAAGCCTCTTGGCAGAAGTACATGCTCTACAAATGCTTTTCCACTTTGATGTTATGCCCCTAGAGGGGCACTGCTGCTTTTAACATGGATTTCAATGGGTTACTGTTAGAGCAATCTATTTAGCCGTTTAATATCAATACAAATACAAAAGTCACACAAGTCAGGTCAAAGGTCAAAAAAGTCTATACAAACTCTAAACCAATTATTATTTAAACTCTATCAAAGTGATCTAAACGTAAAACACACCACATCCCGATCTCCATCTTTCCCGTCGACATCTGTGGTTGGCTGTTATTTATGGAGGCCCGTCCCGTGTGCTCAGCTGGGTACTGTTCTCACGGTGTTTGCGAAGCCGGGTGGGCCGTGATCCGAGCCCCCACTCCGGCAATTAGCACGCAACCGCTACTCACCAGACACATGGTTTCACTCAGCCGTGCCTTCCCCAACATGGGAAACAAGCGAACGTTTGAGGCCTCCAGCGTTTAAAGTGGACAACCAGCGAAAACACAGCGCAGAAGACAGTACAGGACACAGCAGCGGTAATCTACTGTAAACGCAACATTCTGGTACTTTTTGATAATTTATGGAATTATTATGAACCTGGTGGAACTTGGACTATTTGAATATCGTTCAAAAGTTAATTTATTTATCTAATTAATTTGTTAGTTTGATTATGATTTAGTTCATTTTCTGAATATTATTTATTTTATACTATGTCAAGACATGAGCCAATTATCAACATAACACACATCAACAATTAAAGGATTGATATTTCTCACTTTGCGTGTTGTGATTTTAGTTTCACATTGTAAGCTGAAGAACAGTGAATGAACTTTTAAACTATATCCTAATTTCCTTAAAGTCCAAATACTCTGCTTTCAGTTTCAAGTTCTTTAAACAAATAAGATATCAAGTCTGTAGTCTGATTTAAGTCCACATTTCTGATTCATTTCAGCGTTCTGTTGTCACTTCTAAACATTTTGTTGGTTTACAAAATTACATATAAATAACAAGTTTGGATTGAAAGGCTTGTATATTTGAATGTACGAATGAGCTCTCAGTACTAATCCAAAAACAGTACAAATCTGTGCACGTACATACAGTATTTATAGTCCTGCAAGAATGAGTGGATCTTTATCTTTCTGTTAGGCAGAAAATACTATCAAACAAAATGGGGGAAAAACTTTGTGTGTCTCTGTGGCAGTGGTCCACCCATCCACAGGGGGGAGCCATTACTTCTAGGGTGCAAGAAAGTACGACACAATATTGTGAAAATACTCTAATTGTTAAGTTAAGAAAGGAATTTGGAATTTAGTTTCTTGCAGCTTTATTACATCTTCATTTTACTGTTGTGGTTAATAATAAAAGAAATAATAAAATAAGATTAATAATAATAATACATCAAACTTGGACCTTGACACGCTTCACATGGAAGAATAAATACATTTTAAAAACAGATAATGGGTAAAAATTCAGACTAAACCTTTTGGTCTGAAAAAGCATTTTTGGATATGATTTTTTTTTTCCTTTTTTTGTTGTTGCTATTGACCTGCAATAAATCATCCCTAAAACAACATTGAGCGTGTAAAATGACCTCTAAGATGGTTCAAATCTGCGCAACGTTGACTTTGCACACTTTGTCTCCTTTTATATGAATTGAAAAATGGATTCCAGTCGGTCAAAGCTGGTTTCTATAAATGAACTGATGCTTTATTAGTTGCAAACAATAGGTTTGTGTGATGAGCCCAGGCCAAACAGATGCATCCAAACAAAACTCAAAAGCCGTCTATATTATTCTTTTGCGATTGCACCACTAAAGTTTGAAGTGGCGCCTAATATGGAGAGTTAGAGAATATTTGAGAAAAATGCTTGAGTTATGTTTGGTATGTGAAAATAGCCTTGGCCCACACTGTTTGACAGAGCAGACACATTCTTGATAAACTACCAGCATGTATTTTTAACACATCCCTAGAAGGAGAGCGGAGATGGATTTATGTGGCTGAATCGAGTAGATTGACGAGGGCCATTTAGATTTTTTATGAACTACACATTTAATTATCAGTATAGTGCACTGAATCTGTCCATGTCCCCTTAATAATATAATTAAATATGTGATCAATTTGACTTATAAGTTTATTTGAGATAGAAACAGCCTCACAGGGTGTTAAAATCATGATCACAGTACATTGATAAGCAAGATAAAAATATAAAATCACTCAGTTACATCCACAGCCTAAAAGAACTGATTTTAACCTGGATATAAACATTGACAGAGAAGAAGCCTGTCTCACATTTTCAGGAAGATTGTGTCAGATTTTAGCAGCATGAATCTGAAATGCAGCCTCCACATGTTTAGTTCTGACTATTTGTGAAACATCTTTGTGTGTCCAAAAAAAACTGCTGTATATACATTGTTTTTTTAACTCGTGGACCAATTATTTTGGGCTATACAAGATCACATTGAATATAAAGTCGAAAACCAGATCATTTCCCCACACTTTCAAAAAGACAAAGAAAAGGGGCCATAAAAAAGTCCATATCCACCCAATCCAAGTCAAGCAAAGCCAGTTTATTGATATTGCACATTAAAAAAAGAAGCAATTTGCTGTACAGTGGAACAACAACGGGACATAACAGAGCTCAAACCAAATGTGAAGCCGCCAAGACAAACACACAAATACAGTTCCTGGACGAGCCAAGACGACGGCGCCAACACGGTGCACGGTCATACAGCAACCGAGCTTAAAGAGCCACGTTGTTTACACACATTTTCCTGGGAATTAGTTGAACAATGTTGTGTTTTGTGCTGCGCAGCTTTTCTCCCTGGAGGAGCGGAGGAAGCAGTGTCTGGAGGACTTGGCCACGCTCATTCAGAAGATCTACAGAGGGTGGAAGTGTCGCACTCGCTTCCTGCTCCTCAAACAGAGCCAGATCACAGTGGCCGCGTGGTACCGCCGATACGCCGTGAGTGGCTTTCCAAATCAGAAAAAATATGGCTCTCTTTTCTTCTCAATTGTGTAAAACATGGCATTACACATTTCTCACATTTCACCTGAGCAAACTTGGACCGCCCCAGTATTATAAGAGCTACATTATAAAGCAGACTTATTTTCTTGTGAGAAATGTTTATGGTTAGTCTCCATAACAACAAATATTAATAATACACAAATAATCTACCCTGATCCAATTTAGTTATCCAAGCTTAAATCTGGGGTACCTAGCTTTATTATTTTCATGAATAGTTCATGTAGTTTGTATCAAAGTTTCTTGATAATGTAAAATAAGAACATACTACAACAAAACATTTTTTCTAGCTACACAAAGACTACATGCATTTGTGTATTTGGAAAACATATTTTTTTACATTTCTTTAAGTCCTGCAAGTAATAACTGGATGCTTTGATAAGATAAGATAAACTTTATTGATCTCACAATGGAGAATTTTACTTTACGTTTTGATTTTGGACTTGGAGCTGATTGGCTAAGTGAAAGGGTGGTCCCCTATTTGATGTTTTTTATCTGTAAAAAGCTGATTTAAAAAGATATGATAGAGGCCAAACATATGTGCATGTGTAAAATTGTGATACAACCAGGAACTAGTTTCCATCTATCCATTTTCTTCCCCTTAATCCATTTCTGGGTCGGGCGTAAACTATGGAACTAGTTTCATGGAATATTATTACATCAGGCTTATTTTAGGATTTGAAAAGTGGGTACCCCAGCTTTAACAAGACCAAAGATGTGTTTTTGTGTTTCCAGTGACTGTGTTAGACCTCTGCAAGTGTTCCTTTGATAAATGTGTCATCCTCTAATGTATTGAGTTGACGAATCACAATATAAATCAATGTATATACCTAGGTTTGAGATTCCTGTTTCATGCAGCCTTTCAGAGCTGTTTTCCCTTTCAAAAGACTCACCTTTATCATGCTGTAACCCATAGATTACTCAAGATTAAATAGGTATTCAGGTTTAGAGACCTTGAAATTCCTTGCAGTTCCTTGAAATTCTGCGAACACTAGCCAGTATAAAGGACAAGGACGATCCAGGCCCTGAACTCAAACGCTCGCTTCTGCGTTCATCCTTTTATTTGCTCGTGTTGCAAGATGCGTTTCTACACAATTCAATAAAAACCCCCTTTGCATTTTGTGTGTCACAGCAACAAAAGAAGTACAAGAGGATCAAGAGTGCTACCACAGTGGTGCAGTCCTACACCAGAGGATGGCAGGTAAGCCCACACACACACACGCACACACACACACACACACACACACACCCATGAATTACACATCATACAACTCAACCTTTTGTGTCATTTAAAAAAAAAAATCTAGACCAAAGCAACCAACGTATGGCTTTTTGTGTGGTTACAACAGGCGCGCAAACTCCTGAGAGAACTCAAGCATCAAAAGAGGTGCAAGGAGGCAGCGACGACGATTGCGGCGTATTGGCACGGCACACAGGTACTGAAAAGAACCTCTCAGAAGGGTAAAGTAAATCTCTGTAAAGGAAACTGCTTTGGAAGACTGAAGTGTTTTTTTCTGCTTGTGTAAGAAGTGCAAGAATGATGATAGATACAGATTGAACACAGCATGGAGACTGCTGTGTTCAGAAGCTGCCAGAGGAGCGGGAAAACGTGGATCAAATGCACACGTTTTGTAAAATATATCTGGTGTAAGAACATATATTAAAGTTAAAGGTGTATAGGAGGATTTTCTAATTCTGGGTGGATCATCAAGACGTTTGGTCCGCCCAATTCTCAATTATTCTGGTGATGCATGCTCGTCAAATATACATATACATTTAAGATTCCTGCTTTTCATGTTTAGATCTTAGGTTACTTGGTCCTTGCGATGCTAAAAGCTACAATTAAATAAGTGTCTATAGACTCTGGTGTACAGATGTGTGTGAGAAAGTAGTTCTTTCTAATGCCCAATTGATATATAATGATCCTTTTTCCAAACTTTGAACTCCCTAATAGGTATTCTACATGTTTACAATGCATGAAAGGGCGATGATTGCTATTTTGTGGCCTGATTTGTGTATTCTTAACCAATGCCTACAGTTCCCTCGTGATTCTACTCTATTTTCTAATCACGAAGCTTCTCTTTCCTCTCCGAACTCATCTTTCTTCTTTATCCTTTCTCCAACCCCCCACACTTGTCACCTCCCACCAGGCTCGAATGGAGTTGAGACGACTTAAGCAGGAAAAGAGGAATTTACTTGCTGTGACAGTAATTTGGGCGTACTGGCAGGGAACCAAGGTATTTGTAGTTTTAGATTGTGGTGTTTAGATCCTCCCACCATGTTGTCCTGTGTTGGATCCATCCCATTCACCAGCGCAATCTCACAACAAATGTATAGATATTTTGTCTTTTTCGACCACCAATTGTGTGTGTGTTTGTCATTATGGCTGTAAATCAATCGATTTTTGTCCATTCAACTTCGTGCCTTGCTTAATGTAATACCTTCTCCATGGAGCCAAGCAGGTGGAGGACCACTGTGACTTCCCGCTTCTCTCTTGGTGGATTTTATAGCGCCATCTGGTGGTTTTAGCCAGTACCTTGCTGCCTATGGAGAAGTGTTACCGCATCACTAGGCTCGGTGATTAGAAATATGAACTCTAAATTGCGTCTAATAGACAAAAAAAGGAGTTTCTGAGGCTAGACCAATGTGTTCAATTGGCTGTTAATTTGCCTAATAAAGTAGCTATATGTTAAATATTTAGGTTAAAGGGGTACCCTGTTTGTTCGATTGGGCGTAGAGATGTACTGCATGTCCAAATAAAGATGGATAAAGGTCAGTATTGAATATAAACTTTTTTGAAGATGGTTAGACCCATGCAGCGTCCTAATTGGTCTAAATGAATTCAAATCCTAGAGGACCCCCGTCATTGGTTTAACCGTTCTCCAGCTAATCTTACTGGTTGAAGTTATGCCAAGGGGAGGGGCTTTTAACAACGTATTTTCTTTGCAAAATACTTTCTGTACAAATGAAATACAATTTAGGTGGCTGACGACACCTGCTAGTATTGGTATTGAGTAAATTCTGGACTATATTACCCACAATAGCTGTAAAATTCAGTCTCACTCTTAGGTGTTTCGGGTCTATTAAAGACAGCCCCTCACATTTCAGCTTTAAAAATCATAAACGTGCAAATCCTCTCCAGACAATCTCCATAATGTGACATAAAACCGCCCTATTTGCCAGTCATCCAACTGTGCCCCCGTGTCCCTGTCCTTCCCTTGTGTCCAATACCCCCCCCCCCTTTTCATCCGTGATTGTCTTTGTCACCAAACCTGTAAAAACACTTCACCGTATACTGACACTAACCACCTCCAACCGCCGCTCCCAATAGGCCCGACGAGAGCTCCGTCAGCTGAAGCAGGAGGCCAGGAATAAGCATGCCGTGTCGGTCATATGGGCCGGATGGCAGGGCACCAAGGTATTTAGGAGCCGATAGTGACTTGCCGCCTCCATTCCCACCATTTTATTTACCCATTGTATATTAAAAAAACACCAATCCATGTCCATCCTCACTTCCAGTTCTGTTGGTAGATTTAGTTAAGTTGCCTGTGTTAGTGGTGGTATATAAAGCCTTAGAGATGGCTTGGCGTTTACTTAGAAAAGAGTTAGATTGGTTGTTTTGGAGTTTTATTTGCCTTCTCTGCATGGTTCTTGACTGCTCTAATCCTAATAATGCATGCTTCTTTTCCCCCCTATTTCATATATAGACTTTAGTAGTTTGCAGATTGAAAACAAAAGCATGACGACTAACGTTTGTCCCAATTTTTTCAACCACTTCTAACCCATGTTTTTTTGCAGTGATTTCTCAGGTAAATGGGAGTGACGCTGGTGTGCAGTGTTTGTGCGTTGCCAAACTAGAACAACGATCAATACTGAAGACTGTATAGACTCATAGAGATCAATGTCAGGCACACAACAATCAAAAATAGTTTAGAATCTCTGTGGTCCAGACACATTTCTATACAACGGTGGGGTTTATTTAGTTGGGATTTTTTTTAGGTTCAATTTAAATTTCAGTTTATCATGAATTGACTGTGCATTTTGTATTGTAAATTCATGTTTTAACTTTTTCCAAGCTCAGCCAAGACAAGAGGGATAACATGCTAGAAATCTAATCACAAAGTATCACAGTTCGGTTGACTCTAGGAACTTACTCTATGCATGTTCATAGTTTTGATTTTATATCACTAAAATATGATTATATTTCCTGAAGCTGCTCCTACTTGAGCGATGGGCAATATCTTCCCATTGTTTTCAAAATATTATTAGTACCCATAGATTCCCGGCCCTAGAGTCCTAAAACTGTACTTTTTAAGTTTCTCAGCTCAAATCCTTCATTTTCTCCCAAACCTTTTCTTTGTTTTAAAATATCACATTCCTGTTGCTGCTCCCTCCTCAGCCCAAACTGTTCGGGTTTCAGTTTTGGCTCCCGGCTTTTGTTTTTGCGCCTTCTGTGACCCATGACGTCTCCGGGGGCTGTGCGGCTGATTTGACGGAGGAGAATGATAGAGCACTATTGTCAGAGAACATCCCCAGTCTCACACCAGGGCGGAGGAAAAGCAGGAAGGAAAGGGAGAAACCGTACGAGAGGCTAATGATTATATGACCTAATTATTTGTCTCGGTGTGTGTGTGTGTGTGTGTCTGTGTGTGTGTGTGTGTTGCATAGTTTAAAAAGTTAGTCCAGCAAATGATATCTTTGGCCTTCAAAGGTCATTCATATCTACTGCTATTTAGATAAATAAGTCCATTGAGAGAGACGTACTCTTTTGTGGAGGATATGAATTATAAAAATTTACCATAAAGATTATAATTATTTTGATTTGTCTTCTCTATATGCCACAATTATGTTATCGAGGAAGAATGACTACACACTTTATAAATCCTACATGTATGGTCATTCGTCTATATAGTAATAATAAGGCATTGGTTTTAGATGGCGCGTTTTTGGACACTCAAATAAGCTTCACGTGTCATTATTCATACAGTTTTAGTAAGAACACAGAAATGGACAGGTTTCAATTAATCAAAATTAAAACGGGGATAAGCCAATCACAAGGGAACGCTGAACAGTAGAACATGGAAACTCTATAGTTAAACTTGGAAAACTATTAAAAGAAGTTTGTCATATTCAATTCAATGCATTTTGTGTAGTCTTCAGGCCTTCACTATTCTCTTGATTTGCCAACATCATATTAGAGAATAAAACAACAGTAAAACACTTAGTAAACTCCTATTTGCGTGTCTCCTGCAGAAGAAGGAAATTTGTCTCTTCTGAAGTTAAAGTACTTTATTTACCAAGACTCCACATTACTTCAATCGGTCACTTCCTGTATGTCCACGGGGAAAGATTTGTTTCTGTGGACATTTCTTATACAGTCTTCAGTGTTGATAAAAACCATAAATAACGCTGTCCAAAAAAAAATAGTTTTAATTGTGTGCGATTGGTATAATCCCTGTGTTGTGCTCACCTTTCTGCTCTTGGCGCCTTTTCTCTGGTTTGGTCTGAACATAGGCACGCAGGGAGCTGAGGCGGCTGAAGGAGGAGGCCCGGCGTAGGCATGCAGTCGCTGTCATTTGGGCGTATTGGCAGGGACTCCAGGTACCACCGCTAAAATCTGCGGCGCGGCCTTCACAGCATGCCAACAACCACGGACCATTACTAACCCGTTCTTCCTCCTCCGTCTTTTTAGAATCAGAATACATGCATTTACAGTCTGCAGCTAAAATCACATCTGAAATAGTTGTGTGAAAATTACTAGCAATTAAAGCATGTACTGTCGGCATAGCAACTGGACAAGACTTGGATCAAGCTCGATCTGGAGCTTGTGGATCATGCATTTGGGGATAATAAATGCATATAAAGATTTAATAACTAGAGAGTGCAAATGAAGTAGACAGAGGAAAGGCATATATTTGCTTATTTATAACAATTGTCTTGGTCCTAATTCAAATTGTCTCCTGGGCCGAAGGAAAAAGGGATATGACCTGTTATAACCACAAACCAAAAAAGTATACATGATTTTTTGGCTCCAAATTATGCATGTTTTAAGAAGTGAAAACTAATTGTCTGTACAGAAATTTGTAAAACTTCATTCACTCCCGAAAACCAAAAATGTTAGGAATAATATTGGTATAATTTTTCTCACGTCAAATCCAGTATATTTGGAAGAAGTTCGCTTGAAAAATATTTTCAAAGCATCAATAAAAACATTGATGTATTCTGCAGTTATGAAATAAGTTGTTTTCCACTTTGTTGATCTGGTATAAATAATATCAAATTAATTAGAGATTTTATTTAGTTATTACCCACACAGAGCCCACACATGGACACAAACTGGGAACTGCCTAAAAAAACTGCCTATTTTCGTCACATCATTTATTGCCACATCTCCAGACAATGTGTAGCCATTTAAATAGATCCAATACCTTTTTCCTTGGGGATTTATTTGACTGACAGTGCATTATTAAGATTGTGACCGAAATCCAGATTAAATATAGTGTAATACCTTTATTTTAATCCTTGACATTGCTTTCATTCTGCAAGATAGTTTTAAGTCTATTTTTTTGTCAATGTTCTCACTACTACTGTTTGCCTGCTTTGCTTGATCAGACACTAACCCATGTCCCAGCATTGCGTGTACTCATAATTGTCCAAACACTTTTTTCATTTCCTTTTTAACATTTCTTCCCATTTTAGGATTTGCGTTTCCTGCTATACATAATCTTCCATATGCCTGCTTTAATCTCTCCATCATCATCATTGACCACAACATGTTTTACCCACTGCACCTGCGCTATGTGGGTCACTGCCATAAACACAAAAGGCCTTTTTATTTTTTTTGGTCTTGATTCAACAACAATCGTTTGAGTTCTAATCATTTCTCGCAGCATGGACTTGGCTTTGTTGCATCCAGGTGTTTCCATGTGTCTAAACTAACCTCATGTCTGTTTTGTAGCCGTCTCCAAAACCCACCATCTTTCATTGAGTGTTGCTCTGTGACGACTTTGGGCTTGTAAAAACTTGCCGTATTTGGCCCGGTTTGTTAAATGTGTTTTGTTTACTGCTTTTCTGTAACAGGTGCGCCGAGAGTACAGGAAGTTCTTCAGGGCAAACGCAGGAAAGAAGATTTACGACTTTATCATCCAGCGAATTGTAAGTCACTTGGATGTAACCTTGTTTTCTTTCTCTCGAACTAGTCAAGCTCTCAAAATGAAGACTTCGCGATTCATACAGAATCAGAAGTAGATAGATTCTTTGTTATGATTATGTATTCTGCCCGGACACAAGCCTCAGGCCGATCTCCCATTTTTACTGCACATATAATTTAATGAGAAAACAATATGCATATTTGTATTGGATTCAAAAGATAATTAGTTTGAATGGGTCTTGCAGGTAAAACACAGTGATTGGACAATAGTTATAAACCAGCTTTCTTTGTTTACATATGATTCTTTACAGAGTTTTGATGAGTGTTAATTTATTTCAAGTTCAATGCACTTCAAACACTAATTTTCAAATGTCACTACATTGAATTTTCTACCAAATCATTCATTTACATTTACTTATTACGATGTTGCATGTTACACAAAGCCAGAAAAATGGCGAGAGCGCTGGTGTGTGCCGTCTGTTGCACCCTGGGGTACGTATTGCACAGTTTATCTATTGTGGTTTTACTGCAAATGGCAAATACATTCCTGAATCTTGAATCTATTGTACATTATTCAAACTGAAAAAGGAGTGGGAGAAAGACAAATCTTATAAATTGCCACTGCACCTGAGAATATACTGTTTACACCTGTGTGTGATATAATAAGTTATATACAAATGTGTATTCACTGCTTATTCACTCTGAAGGCCTGCTCTCACCACCGCTGCTGAATCCTCTAGACATGGAGGAGCAACAACTCTACTCTGAGCTCCTCATCCTATTGTCCACTTGCATCTTTGTCCATCTTCGAAGGAAAAAACAATTACTTTGGAATAGAGGAGCAAGATAGGAGGGAAGAATTATGAAATGTTTTGTGTGTGTGTCTCTGTGTAGATTCAGAAGTACCTCCTGGGGCTGCGGAGCTCCACACCCTCCATGTCTCCCATTGACGGCAGCTGGCCCAGCAGACCCCACCTGTTCCTGGACCAAACCCACACAGAGCTGCGTCGCATCTTCCACCTGTGGAGGGTCAGTCTCACTCTGCTCATATCAAGAATTTAGTTTTGGAAGTAATGAGTGTAATTACTCATATGTCCATGTTTGATCTTCATAACATATACTTTTACTTCAGTTCCTTTCTACACCATTTTTTGTATTTTTTTATGAAACGTTTGCAATGGTTGCCATAGTTACCATAGCAATGCACAGTTGGCTTACCAGTAGTTAGTATTTGATGGCCTTTCTTCAAACTGTGTTGCTGTATTTCAAGTTATATACACACCAGTCTTAATTCTTAGTGAAAGTGAGTTATGGTAAAAGAAAATATAATACAAAATACAGTTGAAATATGAATGTTTTGTGTTCAGTGCAAGAAATACAGGAGCCAGTTCACGGAGGAGAGGCGGGCGGTGTACGAGGAGAAGCTGGAGGCCAGTGAGCTCTTCAAGGATAAGAAATCTCTGTATGCAAGCAGGTACGTACAGCAGCAGCAGCAGCAGTAGCAGTAGCAGCAGCAGCAGGGGGTCCGCTGCTCCACCGCGGACTTTAGAGCAGTTTGTGAGACAGGGAATGGTGTAAGTTTAGAACATTTCTAGCTCATTGCTCAATATTGAAGCAGTCCAGTCCAGCTCTTTGTTTTATGTATTGTAGCTGGGAGCGTAAAGGCAGGAGGCCTGGGTAGAAAAGAAACTCTGTATTTTTAAACATAACTCTGTTCTTTTACCCATTTTCACCCATAACTATCTACACAACATGCCCTCTGGTGTAATTTATCAGCATTTATCAACATTTACAGACATAGAGATTTACAGGACCAATGGCTCTGTGTTTTTTTATCATTGCATTTCTTTTTATCTTTTCTAATTTTGTATATTGTTTATCTTTTTTATATCTACTTCCTTTCCTGTTTTTCCTTATCTTTTTTATGTTTTATCCTGAAAGGTAGTTTACAGCATGTGCCGCATTCAGGTGATAGCAAGTCAAGATGTAGTGACACACAACAAAAACAATGACAGACATAAAGAGGCATGCATACAAACTTCTCCGATCTGTGTTGGCAAATTCATTGGTTTTGTAAAGTCCTCCGAGAAATCTACTATTGTGAATAAGGTTCTACAGGAATACAGTGAATTGAATATTACTTCCAGCCCAGAAATGATCACCAGCGTTTGTCTGTTTGTCTGAAAACGTGTGTATTGTTATTTCAGTGTGAGTCAGCCATTCAAAGGAGACTACCTGGAAATCACCAAGAACCCCAAGTACCAGAAGCTGAACAACGTCATGGAGGAGAAAGTGCTTCTGGCTGATGTGGTCAGCAAGATTAACCGCGCCAACGGGAAGGTAACTGCAGCGAACCCCTGACTGCGAACTACATAGAGCAGTGATCCCCAACCTTTTTGGGCCGTGGCACACCTTTATCATTTGGAACAATCGCATGACACACCACCAGCAGAAAATGGCACTAAATTGAAAGTCTACAACAGCCTTTATAACAAAACAAAGTCATTCTCATCAATGTGCATTATATAGAAATTCAAACAAGCACAAAAAGTGTTTCTAGTCATCTCACATTATTTTATTTTCACATGATTTGGACTAAGCAGGTGATATTTAACTATTTTTATGACACAGTAATAAACATATCAAGGCACACTGGTTGAAAAACACTGGCATAGAGCAGTGGTGGGCAAACCCCGGCCTGTGGGCCAGATGCGGCCCTTCGGATGCTTCTATCAGGCCCCTGAGCCCTCCTCAATTTATATAGATTAAGATTAAGATCAAGAGAGATTCGGATTATGAACATTTATTCATCCCACAGTGGGGTAATTTCAGTTTAAACACCATACAATCCCCCTCTGTGCTGTGTGCAGAGCTATTTTTTTCATTTTTTTTTCATTTTTTTTTAATGAAGCCTGAGAAAAACATTGGAATATCAGACGACTGTTGGGATCTGAACCTAATTTCTAATGTGGCCCTGGAGGAAAAGTTTGCCCATGTCTGGCATAGAGTATACTTCACAATGTTATGTTTTGGGTCAAACTATCAAGTGCAAATACAGCTACAACTCTGTGGCTCATGTAAGATTTGATGTTTATTGATAGAATTCATGATGTATTTTTAGTAGTCCTGTAAAGCAGGATGTTATCTGTTGGATTGGATGTGGATTTAAAGCAGTTTCCTGTTTGAAGCTTTGAGGATTTCCTGAATGGTCACTAGTTTTCATATTCTGACTTATTAGACTGTAAACAGAAAAATCTTGTATTACGCAACCGTGTCTCCAGTTCTTTTTGTCATTTTTCAAACCCTGAATTTTACTAATCAAGCAAGTTAAACTATGAAGCAAAATTCATACAGTGCATCCCACAGTGCTTTAAAGAGACATGATATCATACACTTACATACATTATAAAACATGAGGTAAAGCCATCTCCTTTGTCGCTGACGGAGCCTGCGGGGATTAGAGCCTCAACATTTTTACAGCAATGACATTTACTAAACATTCCTCTTGTTCCGGCTTCAATTTCTTGATATTTGGAGCCGAACCAGAACAGATTACTTTACTGACGCATTCGCCGCCGTTGCCAAACTATAACCAGCATTTTTGGCGCAAACTCTTGACGTCACCGACACAACGTCCTTACAACACCCGCCTCCCCCGCTCGCTGATTGGTCAAAGGGGATTCAACCAAGGAAATTGCAGCCACTAGGATCAGACCCAGACGTACATGTGGGAAATGAGAATGGACCACAGTAGACAGATGGCTAAGACCAGGCTACAGCTGAGGCCTAATTACCTTTGTTCTAAAACTAATAGACTGAATACAGACAGACAAGTTAAAAAAAATGTCTTCATAATGAAACGTTTACACCAAGTCAAGTACAAGTCTATAGTCATTGTCACAGAATATTGCAGTAATACTGTTTGACATTTGATGTGTGGCAAAAAGGGTATTATTTAGGGTATTATATTCATTATTTATCCTCTTCCAGATTAAAACATCAAACAGACTGAGAACATTGTGCCCCAACATTATTTTCCAACAAGTGTTTCCCACAATCGCATGAGTCAATGATGAGTTTGAAGAGGAAGTTTTTGGAAAGACAATCTAATCATTTATTGTATTTTTATTGTTCTTTTAGTGTATTTTTTGTTTAGGTTTGTGCAGGATTTAAAGTTGTCACATGTGTAATTAGGCCAGCCTCTATGTTAAAGCTGGGGTATGCAACTTTTGCGTCATAAATCGTACATGTTTTTGGCCCAAACAGAAAGAGTCTCGTCATCACCGTGTGTGGAATGATTGGAACAACTCTGAACACTGTAAAGCGCTTTGGGTGACCTTGGTCTGTAAAATGCGCTGTATAAATAAAAATTACTTACTTACTATATTTATAATTAGTTATATTACAGTTATTCGCAATATGAAGTATTATAAATTGTAAGGAAGGGGCCTGTGAGAGAGGCAGATTTTTCACGTTTCTGTTTGAAAAAAGTTGATCTCAAACTGTGACCAGACAAAAATACTGTACATGTAAAAACTTGTGTATCTGTTTTGAAAGAGAAAAACTCATTACATTTTTCTTTTCTTTTTTTTTTTTTTTTTTGAAAGTTTAGCTTCCTCACCTTTTTAAATAGTTTAACATTGAATTCTAGGTATTTCTGTTTACATTATTTAGTCAAATGAAATCAAAATCATGCTCACCTTTCATTTCATTATCTGAATAAATTTACTGGGATATGCTGTAAAATACAATCAAACAAATTCAAAAGAGATAAAATGTGGTATTCTTGTTAAAAAAAACAACAGGTGTGTTTACTAAAAAAAAACACATATTTACATACAGTACAATATTATGATGGGACTGTGGGGCACATTTTCCCTGTGGAGAATGAAAATGGCTGCAGTGGCTCTGGCTCTTGGCTAATATTACTACAATTTACAGTATTTTAGAAATCTTTGCCAATTATAAAAGGCAAGGACAATGTGTGGCTTTTTAAAAAACTGGTCCAAAAACAAAGCATGAACATTTCTGTCTTGGGTCCAGGGAACAGCGCGGATCTTCCTGCTGACCAAGAAGAATGTGGTTTTGGCCGATCAGAAAACCGGTCAGGTCAAGGCCAGCGTCCCTTTACCCGACGTCTCCAGCGTTTCCGTCAGCACCCAGAGCGACGGATTCTTTGCTCTGAAACTCAAAGAGGTAAGGGAAGAACACGGCTAAGGTTGCATTAAGGTTGCAGACCCCATATTTGGACATTAGACATCCTAAAACTAATTTGTAGGCGATACTTTTGAAGCAGACTTTAGTTCATGTCTGAGATTTTGTCATATTGTAATGAGTTGGAGATGCAAACTTTTGGAACGAAGAGTCGTATTGTGCAATAAGTTTGAAGAGGAAGTTGCCGTAATGTCCTGATTGAGTGGGTTTGAAGACCATCTTGAGTTAATGGACCATCTATCAGCTCGAGTTGGTCCTGAAAAGCATGATGTCATCTGTTTGATTTAATGCAGTTTCCTGTTTGACTTCCTGAGTGGTCACTAGTTTTCATATTGACTGTAAAAAGGAAATCTTGTATTACGCAACCGTGTCCACAGTTCTTTTTGTCATTTTTCAACTGTTTTTGTTAAGTATATTCTCTGAGCCACAGGAAGCAGAGACTTGAGAACTGGACTATTGTGATTCCTGTTACTTCCTGGTTCTTGTAAAGACTCGAGCTGCAGTGTTTTGTGTGTATCAATTATTCATTGAAATGCTTGTCTTTCTTTTGCAGGGCACCGCGTCAGCTGTTAAAGGAGACTTCTTACTAAGTAGTGAACATTTGATTGAAATCATCACAAAGCTTCATCGCGTCGGGACCACAGCGGCAGAAATGGAACGACTCAACATCGATATTTCAGACGAGTAAGATCCACATTCCATAAAAACCTACATGCATCGATTTTGGTTCATTTGTATATACAGATGCAGTTTTAAATGTATTGCGTCCATGCTTTAGCCTTTTTTTTTGTTCGGTTACGTTTTGGACTAGCTTCAAGTGACGTCGCCCTGAAATCAGATGTATTTAATGCTTTCAAAAATGCAGCTTCACAAATAATGTTTTGAATGATGTGATGCAAGTGCCGCGCAATGCTAATGCTGGAGTAGAAGCATATTTTCAGGAAGACTGTACCATATTTTAGCTGCTTACAGTAGATCTGAAATGCTGCCTCCCCATGTTTAGTCCTGACTCTGGGCACCAGCAGGAGGCCAGTCCCTATGCTCCTCAGAGTCCCAGTTGGTTCATATGGCAGTAAGATAAGATAAGATATTCTTTATTTATCTCACAAGGAGGAGAAATTTACATGTCACATTTGGCATGGATAGTAACACTCAGATTGTGCAAAAAAGGGAGGAAATGTGCAAACATGTTAAATGCAGGATATATTATGTACATAAAAAACACGTCACAGATTAGTGTCCGGCAGCCGCAGAGAGAACGGAGGACGCCAGTACAATATTGTTCCATCTTAAAGTTTGGGAACCTAACTTTCAAACCACAAATGAATGACTAAACAATCCATCTAATCGTTCTTTTCTCTAAAGGCAAGGCAAGTTTATTTGTATAGCACAATTCATACACAAGGCAACTATAAGTGCTGAACAAAATAAGAAAGCATTAATATCATAAATAATCACAGAACATTAAAAAGAAAGATAAAAATATAAAATCCCTCAGTTGTATGCACAGCTAAACAGAACTGTCTTTAACCTGGTTTTAAACGGTGTCAGAGAGGAGGCCTGTCTCACATCTTCAGGAAGATTGTTCCAGATTTTAGCAGCATGAATCTGAAAAGCAGCCTCCCCATGTTTAGTTCTGACTCTGGGCACTAACAGGAGTCCAGTCCCTGTGCTCCTCAGAGTCCGGGCTGGTTCATATGGGACTAACATGTCACTAATATATTTTGGTGCGAGGCCATGGAGAGACTTGTACACAAGCAGAGCTGTTTTAAAGTCTATTCTCTGAGCCACAGGAAGCCAGTGCAGAGACCTGAGAACTGGACTAATGTGGTCGTACTTCCTGGTTCTAGTCAGGACTCGAGCTGCTGCATTTTGACTGTAGTGCAAACTAGTTTCCACATGTTTGTATGGCTTGGTTTCTGTCACATCTGTGGATCAGATTTTTTAAACAGAAAAGTGGTCTGGGAGACTCAGCTCCAAGCCCAGTGTCTCAAAATAGACTCAAAATGTTTTCTTATTAGTTGAAGACCGCATGTTGTGGTCTGATTGTATGCTTAAGTGAGCTTTAGTAAATAAAACAATCGTACATGTCATAGTTATCCGACCATATACATCAAAACAAGAGACACACAAAAACCAGTTCCTTGTTGTGTTGCAGGTTCCTGGTGCAGTTCAAACAGGACAAAGTGTGCGTCAAGTTCATTCAGGGAGCTCCCAAGAACGGCAACAGCGTGTCGTGCAAACGCAAAAACAACCGTCTCCTGGAGGTGTCTGTCCCGACTACAGCTGCTTAAACCTCGCCCAGGTCCCAGCGCTGAGGCCGAGAGACCATCCCAGGATCCAGGCCCATGCCCTGTTCGATGGCCCGACTCCCCGTGCTCAAAACCCAAAACAAGACCTCTGTAACGGACCTGCTGTGCTTCTCCTCAAGTCTTTTTGTATCACTTGGCAACACACCGCAAAAAGCAATGTCTACAAAACAATTTCAAGTCCTCCCTCTGGTGGTAGCAAAGGGAGTTGCATGTGGCTAGCATGTGTTTATTCTTCTTCTTGATTTGACTTGACAAGTAAAATCTAAAATCTACCAACGCAACAAAATCAAAGATATTGGCGTAGTAAAAGTCCTTTTCTTTGCTTGTCTGTTTTTCAGTGCAAAATCGTTGCCATGGGCGACGATGGTCAAAGGAAGTCCTAATATGGGATTGCATGCCACTAAAAGCGCTCAATGCATTCACGCTGCGAGTTAAGAATATGGAAATACTAGTATGAGTCAAATTGACAGGTTTGGATTTCTTTACACATGGAATCAAAATATTTAAACTTTCCAGCCAAAGAATATTGGATGATGGATTTTGGGTTCACATAAATTATTCCGTTTTGTCCAGTTACCAAATCTAATATTATTTAAGTCATTTTCATAAAAAGTGGATATTCCTTTTTGCAGTTCAAACATAGTAATGGGGTCATTGTGGTGAAATAATAATGTTCTGGCTTTTAATTGAGAAAAAAGAACAAGCTATTGCCTGAACCGGCCCCGAAGCCATGCATTATTTAGCATTATTTCGACTTGGACGCACTCAAATGTGGAATGGACCAGCAGCTTTTTGGAGCGAGTTCTGTCAGTTCTAATGTCTATCAAATCCACTGCACTCGTTTTCTCACCTCCAAAGAACCAAATGAGGATGATAAGGTAAAAGTGAAATGATTGTATGTTGTATATTTCTACTCAAATCAAAGCGCAGGGGGCCAACGGAAAGCACCGATGTCATGTTTGCAGACAGATTTTATACCTATTCCTACGTATGTGCCATTGTGAAGTTTCATTTGATTGTAACATTGAATCTATAGGATACATAGACCACATACTGTAGTTAGTGACATATTGTATTGTTGCCAACACTTTTTAAACGACCTATTATTGCATATTATTCCGACACTACAAATGACAAACTATTTTTAACAAAGCCAATTTTGCAACGCTAGTTAATCACTGTTAATTATTTCTATTGACTTTTCGAGAGAGGCTTAAAGGAACGGGTTAGAATCGTAGACAAAGCGCCGCTTGGACCTCAGTTTTCATAGCGATTGACGACAAATCCTGGATGGTTCCTAAATATGGCATTTCTGGTAAACGACAATAGCAGGGTTAGTCCAACTGGTTTCCGGAAAGGGCCGGTCTGTTTTCAGGATTTCAGGATTTTATTCCAACCAAGCAGGAGCACACCAGATTCCAGCCATTTCTTTAAGTTTCCAGGTAATGGGTGGAGTCTGGTCTTCTCCTGCTTGATTGGAATTAAATCAGCTTCACTGGGCCTTTTTGGAGGAGCGGTTTGACACCCTCTGGACTAAACCATTTCTTTTAAGTGGTTTGTTATTGTAGACCAGAAAAGGCAAAGGTACCAAAATACCAAATAGTTAAGCACCTGTTCTCTGGCTGTTTCTTTTGTGCAATAATTTAGCTTTGATATTATCTTTTTACAGTAGAAAACGGCGGCTTGGAGCGTTCGGGCGCTCACTTTGCATTAGCTGTACATTTGCTGAAGCCCTGGCATGGACACACACACACAGACACACGCACACACAAGTTATCTACCTTTTCATGGTTGTGTTTGGGGATTTATTCATGAAATTATCAATAATGCAGCTTGACTTAGTGCTATATGCTCGACCCTTTCTGCCCTTATGTGCTTTCCAAGGCAAAACCAAAATGAATAATTGGACAAATCATGGTATTTTCTTATATAAAGTTGCTTCGCGCTCAAGGCCAATGATACATTCAGGTGTTGACGATGCTATTTTTGCTACTTCTCAATGTGATGTGCTAAAATGTACTTTATAGAAAAGAAAAAAAGTTTGGTGTTGAAACTGTGATATTCTACTAATATAAATCATTTGAAATTGATTTAAAATTGCCTTGTTAATTTAGTAAGTTGTTTTGTACCAGCTTTATTCTGGATTGAGATAAATGGAATTGAATTTGGCATAAGGGTTGCATGTTAAATCACTTTGGCAAAAAAGAGAACTCTAGTTTTAAATATTTGTACCACGGCTCTGCACAGTTGATGCAGTTTTACTAAGAACCACATGTTTTCCCCTCTCCTCTCTCTTCTTCTTGTGTATTTGAAAAAGTGCTGCCGCTGCAAAGATGAAGTCTGCATTCTTGTGTGCCTCATGTTAACCTGTGCTGAAGACCGACTGTTTCAGTACAACTCAGTGTAACATTTACAAGTAATCTTTTTTAAATTAAATATGTAATAAATATATTGATGTGAAAAGCCACCGTGTCTTTGAGCATGTTTTAAATTGTGCTGTAGTCGAGGATTCAGTCAGTCCATTGTCTATTACTTGTTTATTTTCTATTTGTCCGTTGCCAATGCAGGAGGTCTAAGAACGGTAATGATGACTTCAATTCAATTTATTTTTGTATAGCCCTGAATCACAACAGCAGTCTCTCGTAGGACTTTACGAAGTTGTCAATTCGCCAACATAGATCAGAGAATTGAACTGTTCAAACATAGGAAATGCAATGATTAAAAACCCACAGAGGCAATGGTCTGTAAGGGGCAGATGACCATTTCCATAAATGTCTTTAAGCCAATTGTGCTAAAAGGGTCTAAATGACCCAGGGTTGGTCAAGTTAGGCAATTGTCAAAATTCAATTTCCTCATTCACCAGAGGAAGGCACAAAGGTCCTTGGATCCTCTTGCATTGACAAGGAACAAGTCACTCATGCCTTTTTAAAACCAATTACTTCTAAATTATTATCGGCAATTTCTCAGGTGAAATGACATTATTTGCATTCTAATGGCTGTGTTTGCAGCCGGTTTTTATTAGATTTGACAAATTCGACTCCTCCCTCTGGTGTTAGCAAAGGGAGTTGCATGTGGCTAGCACGTGTGTCCTTTGTACTACTTTCTACTTAAACTATGATTTCTAAAACATGCCTGATTTAATTTTTAAGGGCAAAAGTAATGCATAATATTTCTTCAGGTGATAAAGGGGACATTCTGACAACTTTATTCTGTGAATGATAAATCATTCAATATGATATTGAAGAAGATGACAAAGTCTGGGATCGCGTCTTTAATTCTGACAGAAGACATGTTTTATTGTCGATGGTAGAGACAGCACGAACACGAACACAGATACAACAGAATGCAAGTGTATTATACAGAGCGGAGGCATGGAGACCTCCAATCAGCAGCTGCCACGGTGCCATGTAGCTTGGCCTTCAGATAGACAAAACAAGGGAAAAGTACTGGCTTCTGCACATTGATAGAATGATGAGTTTAACTATAACAAAAGTTGCTTCAAAGTGTTATGAAATCTCACAATATATTTAACTGAACTATCCTATCCCAACAATCTATGATGTAAAAGGAAAATCATAATTATTGAAAGGGTTGCCCAAACTCGTTCATTCTACTGTAAATCCACAATGACTCCATCAGGCACAGCCACATTCCTCTCTTCTTAGCGGCTCATTGCTTTCATTATCAGTGGATTGTTGCGTCTTTTTCAGCTCCAGATGTTTCCGATCACGTGTGGGGATGGAGCTGTCCCGGGCTCCACACTGTGGCCTGTTTGGGGAGAACTGCCGGCGGACGGTCTTTGGGGACCAGGCCTCAGTTTGAGCCCAGAGCGGTAAAAATAGCCTCTCGTTTACGGAACACAAGTTTTTAGACTTGTTCCCACGTTCAGCTCCGCAGGCTGGGAAAGAGAGGAGGGCCCCGGCTGTGGTCCCCCAGAGCCAAGAGAGCATGACGGAGCTAAAGCCAACGGTGACTTTCTGATCCTGATGAACAAAAAGTTAAGTTCTTAAAGCTGGGGTATTTAATGGCCATATACCACAACATTTTTTAACAAGGCTGTAAGTGGTCAGGTCCCTTCTAACCTCCAAGACGTACTACTTTCATATCAACCAAAATGGCAGACTTGTGGTGGCTCCAAGAGTGTCAAAAATCACAGAGCTATTACTGTGGAATTCACTCCCCATCCATGCCCCTAGAAGCAGATACTTTCTACGTTCAAGGTGCAAGATAAAAACAGTCCACTCAAACTCGGCTCATGGTGAGTCTTGGGTAAGACTTAAAAACACACTATCCTCTCCTCTTTTCTACTAGTAATCTGTTCATTGCTATTCACCCACTGTTCCATCGTCTATTTCATGGTGTGATGATGGGACCCCTGAACCCGGCCTCTTTTTCCCCGCCCCTGTGGACTGCCTTCTCTGGCCCGGACTCGTGGGCTGCACCCCCTTCCCCACCTGGCAACCTCTTCAGTCCTGCAGCACATACAGCCTGGCACCATATGTGTTTGTTATAATTGCATTTTCTGTCTTTCGAACTGTGGGATTTCCTGATCTGTTGTTGGCAAATTGACAACTTTGTAAAGTACTGTTGCGATTTGGGGCTATACAAATATGAATAGAATTGAGATATGTAACAAAATCCATCTGACTAGTCGCTCAATGCTCAGTTTTATCACAAGATTTCATGTATTGTATGTCTCTGTCACATCTCAGATATGAAAATGAAAAGGCCTCTCTCTCTTACTCTTACTCTTACTCTAGTTTAGACATGAGAAAGTCCTACAAAAAAGTTGTAAGATCTGAAAAAAAAAAATTTAATTGGAAAATATTTGTACAACCATTAAAAATGACCTTAACACGGCTCATAACCTGCTTACCTGGTTTGGAGTTATGGATACCTAAAACTCATGCTAAGATAAAAGCAAACAACATTCTGCTACTAACGAGGGTTGACTCAAAAAAAAGTGACAGCAGACTTTCTTACCTGGTATTTTTGTCTATGAAATGTGGAACCCCATTTATAAGCTTTGCAGAGCTTTTCGGGGAGTTCCTTTTTCTCCATCAGAGGGTCACCAAGATGTACACACACACAAAAGTTTTTCGTAGTGAATAAATACATAAATAAAACAACATGAAACTGCAGTAATAGAAGAGGCCACTAGGGGGAGAAAACATGTTAAAGAACAAAGCAGTGTTTGCCTGTTTGCATTAAATAATCACATAGATATCGATGAGATCCATAGATGACGTGAGTAGAGCGCGAAGGAAGTTTAGAGGCAAAATATTTGGTTAAAGATTAAATGTTGAGTCACTTTAAACCCACACTCAGCCCTTTATCTTCTCTCTCTCTCTCTCTCCTATTTCTCTCTGGGGAAAGGGAAGAAAGACCCTTGTCGATTAGAAGACTTCTGATGACATCTAGTGGTGATGATTTAACTTTCATTCATTGTTTTGAATTAATAAAAATGTTGAATTATACACATTTCCATGGCTAATGTTTTTACAACTTATCCGTAGTCTGCTGTCACTAGTTTTTTCAAGCAAATACATTTTTATTCTGATATAAACTGCTCAGCTGGTTATAATTACTGATGTTGTTTTTATTTTTTGTATGTAATTATTCTTCAGTATTCTTAATTTGATATTGGCCCTAATTGTAATAACCTCTTGCCACCACTTGGAAGCAGTAAAGAGTAGCTTTTAGATGTGACTGGTGCGCTGTATGGTCCGGCTGCAGGCAGTATGGACCATAGACCAGTCATAAACGTTTTATTGATTAAAATCACGTGACACACCACCAGCTGAAACAGATACAAACTCTGCAGCCTTTATTAACAATGCAAAGTCAATCTCATCAAAGTGTAGTCTAAAGTCAATTAAACAAGCACAAACAATGGCTTTCTAATCTCACATCATCTTTTTTTTCACAGAACACTGACAAATTAGGTGATATTCATTAACATATATATATTTTTTATATTTAATATCAAATGGTTAAAGGAGCAGTATGTAAAAATCTGTCCAAAACTGGTACTGCAACCTCTCCCACTCTCCCTGCCAGATATGCAGACGAATCCAGCTGAGACCATAGTAGCTGAATAGACAAGTGTTTAGTCAACATCAAATCTATAACCAACACCTTTTTCACAAAGGCCCCAATAGGAATCCTGGTTTTATTCCTTTTTTTCATCGTCTATGATTTGGGAATCATTAACCACAAGACCTTTTTTAGTTCTGTGGCCACTTGTTAGCTTGATGCTGTGATTTCTGGCAACCCGGATCACAGACTTTCTGATTGGTAAAACGGTAAAGGGCGGGACATTGAGATTAAAACAATAACAAGATATAGAGTAACAGTTAAAGAAGTATTGGAAAAGAGGATGTTTTATTAATACTTTTTGACAGATTAGGGCCCTTTAACTTGGCATACAAATCTTACATATTGCTCCTTTAACACAGAGTCTGATAGAAGATGGAAAAATACCTTACTTTCAGTTAAATATTGTTGTTTGAATAAATAAACTAATACTCTCACCAAACCAATCCACCAAAAACAGACCAAAACCCCTTTCTGCATCAATTCAATTCAGATTCAACAATTCTCAGTGGAGTGTTCACTAAATAATGTCCCGCACCAGCTCCACACAGGCTCCTATTGTGCCCTTCAAGGTCACGGAGAGGAAGTCCAAACAAGGCAAATATGATTGGGAAAGGAAGTCACTATTCTTTTCTGTTGGACGTTTAGCACCGCTGTTCCCAACACCCTGATTTACTGCCATCAATAGGATCAGAGTTCACACCATCAAATTCAACACTCACAATACACACCAGTCCAGACCATATTTTACTTTGAATGCAAAATTGTGGACTATAGGGATCTACAACATGTATGGACATTTATCATAATTCATGGACATTGGTCTCACCATATGGACCAATTTTTTGTGTGTCTTAACTGCTGATTCTCTGATCTGTGTTGGTGATTTCAATGGTTTTGTGGAGTCCTCTGAGATTACCACTTTTGTGATTAAGAGGGCTACACAAGAATAAATTGTATCGTATTGTATTTTAGGGAAACGGTATAGGCCTAATGCTAGTGTTTGACCTAATTAAGCTAATCTGTTTTATTCCCACAATTTACCGCAGACAACTTGTGGTTTTGCGCTCTTCCCCTCTTGTTTTAATGCCCTCTGTGAACGGGGTGAGCCGTCTGAAAGTTAGCTAACGCATTGACCGCGCGTATTGAACGTAGAGCCGATTTCATTACGGACCGTGGGTGCAGGTGTCAACTATAGCAAAGTGATTTACTCCGGCATAAATCCATCGGTTATCCAAATGAAAGCCTGTGATCACTGAATGAAGGCAGCAACGAGATATTGTTTTAGCCTCGAATCCATTCTTTTGACCTTCTGCTGCCAAGCCATTAACCTGGAAATTGATATTTTTTTTGGTTATGCGGCTTTTAAATCATCAGCTGTTAATCAGGGGGAGGTGGCGGTCTTGTTATCCCTCTGCTGCTATTGATGCCGTCTGGTCCTGGGTTCGATTCTACCTCCAGGTCTGTCTGTGTGGGGTTAGCGTGTTGTCCCTGTGTCTGCGTAGGTTTCCTCCAGGTGCTCCAGTTTCACCTACTATTAAAAACATATACAATAGAGCCCCAGTGCAATCTCAGTGGGATTTACCTGGTTAAATACACAGAATGTACTTTGGGGATACTTCTGCGTTTTTATTAGTAAACTTTTATATTATTAAAATGCCTTTTATTTAGCACTAATCGCATTATTTAGCTCTAAAATTCTGAATATGCACAATTTAGTTGTTTTTTATTTCTTATTTTTGTAAAATGTATTTGCTCTTTGAAAACATGCAACCTGAGATCTAATGTACATAATGGTCAAAGACATAAACGACAAATACTATATACTATACTGTAAATCCTGCTAATACTACTACTTTTAATTGATTCATGCATGTATGAAGGATCTTGTATTGTCCTGAAAAGGGCATGGGTCTTTTCAACTGCACAACGACATTATACTAACTACATAACACAACTACACAACTACATCCTACTAACTACACACCTATATAACACAACTACACAACTACATCCTACTAACTACATAACACAACTACACAACTACATCCTACTAACTACATAACACAACTACACAACTACATCCTACTAACTACACACCTATATAACACAACTACACAACTACATCCTACTAACTACACACCTACATAACACAACTACACAACTACATCCTGATATGGAGTCTCCCTGCTCACCAAAGCACATTGTCATGAGCCGAAAGTTTACCCTCACCTCGTGGATATCATTCACTGTACTGTTCCACATAATACAGAATTTCTTTCTGTGCTCACAATGTAAAATTAAGGTTTTTTTGTCAATGTCAATGTGGAAAAGAATAAAAGTGTGTATTTGACCCATACTTCAATGTCTCTGGCGCTCAGGAGCAGAGGGCAGCAGCACAGTCTCTGATCTTGAGTGTTACTGAGTCTTGGGTCATGTGAAGGATCCCATTGTTTCAGGGTCAGAAGAAGGACTGCCTTTTGCCCCGTTTGCGCTTTTTGACTTTGTTTTTTTTTAAATATATTTCATTTTTTGCCTTAATATAACACATAGTAATCATGTAATATCTTTATACTGCAATTCAAAGTGTGGGGTTAACACACTTAATAGATAATTGCCTGTTCCCCAAAAAGTATCAAAAAAAGCAAGGGGGCTTTGTTTCTAATCCACCTTTTTGTGATTTTGAACAAACACTAGAGTTAGTACACAAGAGGGATGGTTGTTTTAGAGATTAGAGCCTCACCTGGGAAACAAAATTATCACAATGTTTTTTCTTTTTTCTTTTAAATAACCAGTTGTATTTTTGTTTTTTTGTTCCTGTTGATATATATTATAATGATGTTTATGTGTTTGATTTATGCATGATGTGATAGGGGATGTGAAGCGCTTTGCGTTGCCTTGTGTAGGAAAGGCG